CCTTATGGTTTCCATCATTCGGCGTCATTTTCGGATTAAAAACTCCCAAATGTCTCGATGTTGATGTCAATTAGTTAAAACTTGACAACGAAAATTTTTCTTTGCATGTATTGTGCCCCTTTGAGAATAAACGCATAGGCAGTCGCGCTACCATATTGTTTCACAGTAAAATGTAAACAAAAACATATGGTTTTAGAAGAAAATTAAAGAAACCAACGTAAACATAAAACAAAAGTTTATAAAAAATAATAATAAGCAAGTTGGTGTAAAACTAAACGAATTTGTTTATTGATTAGTGATAAAGAGGATTGATTACATATATGTAGATATATAAATTAGAAGTAATTTTGTGTATTAAATGATCCGTAATATGGAAAATTATTTAACCCTCTCTAAAAAACAATGCCGAATGCAAAAGGTTGGCTTTCGTGTGTGCATTTCCATGCCGTTGTATACCTATTTCCACCTTTCTGTTTATTAATCATTTTACGGATGTTCATAAATGTTCGAAAGTTCAGTTTTTGATTTCAGAAATTTATTTTCTTTTTTTAGGATTATGTTATCATTTCTTAGCATTAAATTCCCACTTTTCTGGAACTCGAGATTCTTTCTTAGTTCGGAGAACCCCAACCTTCTCTCCGTAAACCGCTAATAAAAGTTAATATTCTGCTTCCTACAGTCGGGATATAACCAACGTGGGTCCTTCGAAGGATCAAGGAATGCATCTGTAGCATATTCGATTTGATTGATTTTTAATCAGAGTTGTATTTATATAGTTTTCAGTTTCCTTTTACACTAATTAAGAGTCTAAAGTATACGTATTTCTAAATAGTTTTAATCTCTAACTACTTCAATTTTTACATAGAAAATTGGACGCGTAATGTATCCCCTTGTGTTGATTAACCCACTCTCTTCGTTTGTTGGGAAAAATGAAACTATGAAGCTATGTCTAAGACTGTTAATGCCTTCTTGTACGTAGCGTATTACAGGGAGGAACCATTAAATTAAACCAAATTTTTTACAGAAGGACTTTGGACTTTTTTTCTCTTTTTATAATTCCGTCCTTCTGGTTTAGCTATTACAATAAGGGATTATGAAGACAGAAACATGATATTATATATACATATTTATCGCCTTTTTCAGACAGATAAAAGATAAAAATAGACCGACAAAAATCCCCTACATCTATATACGTGAACGTTACGGCTGAAAATAACTCTTTCAAAAATTTCAAAAAATAACATTAAAAACCGATTTATTTTCTTCTTATCCTTTCCCTGGTTTCTGGATTTGATTTTAACTAACCGTGAGTAATGAGCGAATCTCAACGAATTTTTGTTTAGAAAAACAGAGTTGCGTTCATTTACGCTGCACTGCGGACTTGTGCTTCCAACAATTTGGCCCATTTACAATACCAATCTGAGTTCAAAAACTGTCAATGTTTCTACCAAATTTGAAGTCGATATCGCCGTTTTTGCGACCAGGAAGGTGTTAACAAAATAACTCATACAGACGGACAAACATTGCTTAATCAATTCAGAATTAACATCCATTCGTCAGCGATAGGTGTAAAAATATAATTATTTCAACAATTTTATTTAAAAAATATATAAACGTAAAATATATTAGATATATATTTTATGCATATAGTGTAACGTTTTTTCATCTATGATCTCAGGTGAAGCCGTGCTTACCAGGATTCATTATAGACTAGGTATTTTAAGAAACGGAAACTGCGAATCTAATTTCGGACGAATACCGCTTTACCGACACTATATTTTTGTGTGCTGGGCCGTATTTCAGTCCCCACTTTCACGCCAATTCTGACGCTCTGCCGAAAAGGATATTTAAAGAAATCCATGGAAAGCTAATAATATGAAATTTAAAGATAATATTATACGATGTAAAACGATATATACATAAAGGCAATATCAAAGAATAAGGATATATATAAAAATATGACCGTATTCCAAATAATGTAAATATTATATGATAACAAAGATGTGTCAAAGCAAGATAATACAAAAATGATAACAACGGTAGTATTATATGATAATATTGCATAATTGCCAGGAGATAATAATATTAACATAAAAGTGTCTTTGCAAAAGAATTTTTAAACGGGCTTGCAAAATAACTTTGTGTAACGATATGACGTTCGCATTACGTTGATAGAAATGATATTATGGAAAAAGGGTAAATGGCAATCATACAACAGAAATATACAGCCTCATACAAAAATCATCCCAGGTGAATTTTGGGTTGTCAATTTTCTGAATAACAAAAGAAGAAGAACAACAAATCCCTTCGGCTGATTATTTTTACGCAATATTTGAAATTGTTTCACATCTTGTGTACCCGTAGGAACAAATTTCTGCAAGCAAAACAAATACTATATTGTGTTCGCGTATACCAATGTAGGGGGTCTCTTTTTTTGCAAAAGGGGACAATAAACTATTAAATTGCGGAATATCGCTAATATAATTTTTATAATTTCCTTTCTCAAAAAAAAAATGTTTAATAGCAAAACACAAAAGAAAGGAATTATAAAAAGAGAAAACCTTCAAAGTCCGCCTGTATAATATAAGGATGAATTTCGCTTTCTGCAATTGGTTTGCATTATTACAGTTCAGGCTCATTAAGCGATTGATAGACTGGAACATTTTTATTAACAAAAGTAAATTGTGAACAACAAACGCTTTGCATTAGTATTAGTTGTTTAATACTGCATTTATGAAAGGAGACAGCTGTAAATTGAAGAATGAAATCCCACATAATATTGTTTACTTATAAACAGTTGAACTAAAACAAAAATACTAAATTAGTGAAAGATAAGAGAATTAGTTCTTCTTTTTTCGCTTTTTACTCCAATTATCTAGTTAATACTCTTAATTCCCTAAAGCTTGTAATCAATTGCGTAAAGCTTAAAAATATAACTTAAGCTTTTATATTCTTCAAAGTCAATAGCGGATTTCAATCCAAAAGCGGAAAACCAGATGCGATCCAAGGAAGATGGGAAAATTTGCAAATGTTTGTGCAGCAGGAGAGAGACCTCCAGCGAAGACATGAGAAAGCGGCATATCTTCTGCACCTTCCAACTAAATTGTGTTTCAATACAAAATATGAAAAATAAATTCGTTTTTAGATGTTTTCTCAAAATTAAACTATAAAAATTGATTGAAATTTAAAGTTGCCTTTGCACATTCTTTGCAGGTAAATTCATATTTTGATGTGTTCATATATTACATAAAATAAAAAAAAGTGATATGTACTCAGAGTTAAAATCCGCAATTCAAAGTTTTCCTAAGAAATGAAAGTACGAAATTTTATTATTTATATGAAATTACTTCCGTTCATTTTATCAAAAATTTTACATAATTTTGCTTTTATTTACGTTTTATTGATTATAATATTCCAAACAAACTTCAAATTTGCCCCGTTTTCTCCCAATATTTTTTTGAAATAAATTTCGAATGACAGAAATCATACATAACTCTCACACAAATGGCTCTAAGAGACGCCTATAAAATGAGGGCTATGCAAGGACGAACTTGTTATTTGAAAAACTGTATGAAGCAAAATGATGAAGGATATTTAACGGTGGCCACTGGCCGACTATATTTTATTTTATAATTAATTTAGTTTGGAACTCATGGTCATTCCTTCTCGAATATGACACGGCAAAGTATCTGACTTATTTCAATGATAGCGATTTCAAAAAAGCGTGACAGACGGAGGAGATCCTTAGGTAATCCAATTTACTGAAGGAAAAGATTTTGGAAGATGACTATTCACTCTTGTTCTAAATAGCCCATGTGACATTAAAGATTTGATGTAATTGAAAACTTACACACAATGCGCGGAAATTTCACAAGGTTTAATATACGATGTAGACTTTTTCGAAGTCGATTGAAAAAGTTGCAACATGATTTCATTGAAGCTTCGAGAGAAGTTGTGTTCGAATAAGTACTTAGACCACACTTCTCCATAACATTCCCGCTTGGAGTGCAGGTGCCGGCAATTTCATTGAAGCATGGCATCCTCGCCAGGCTTTAATCTTTTCATACCACAGTCATTGAACTCTATTAGAGAGAGTTTTTGAATTGCTTAGGAAGATTAGTCTGTGGTTGGAAATGGAATAATTATGTAGAATGTTATACTTCCAATGCAAAAAAACCATTGGTATATGTACATATTTCTTTAATTATTTATTTATTGCAAAACCCATTTGGACTAAGACAGTATACCGTACAGTACAACAAACGTGAATGTTGGCTTGAAGTACTTACGGTATAATTTTACAATTAATATTATATACTAATACATGAATGTGGTCGTACTACTAAGTCGATCACAGAAATTGATTTCTCCGCCAAATCTACATAAACGAATATAGTAAAGAAGCAAGCATTGAGCGAACGAGCGATACTGATCCCAACCAGTATTAGCTTAAGTACCAACTTATAAGCATATGTTATGTGGTGATTATGATGATAATCCGTGGCCAGTTAAATAGTTTAGAAGTTTAAGAGGAAAGACATTATTGGAATGTGAGGTAACAACAGTAAACCGTTCCAAGAACGAGCCACTCTTATCACAAGGACCTTTCGAAGATTAACCTATGGATTCTAGGAGTACAGACTTGAGAATTTCGTACAAAATGCAATGGTTTGAACTTTTTACAGAACAGAAATGGAAAACCCTTTCTTATCACATGCACACATTTGAACGTTACTTGATACGATATATTTATAGATATGAGAAACTTTTTTTAAGTAATTATACAAACGGAGATTTTGTTTGCATTGTAATTATTACTTACGTAAACTTCATTGTGTCTCTTTAAATTACTTTTAAACTTAACATAGATATTTAAATAAGAAACATTTTCTTAACGGCTTATCATCTAACATCTGTAGTAATGCAAATGTTATAAATCATCCAGCTTTTGTACATAATTGGCAACAAACGAAAAATGACGTTTATTAACGAAGCTTAACACGTCAACCGACACACGCTCCACTCATTCAATTTTCTAAAAGCCTACGAGGCAGAGGATTTTATTAGGATTATTCTTTCTTCTTATAAACTGGTCAAAAATTTCCGAAAAAGTGAGTTTTTCTTTATAACTAAATTGAGAGAAACATTTTACTTTAAGAAAGTCTATTGCTAAAACCTTCAAAGTTCCAAATTTGTTAAGACATTAACACGTCAACAAATAAGTTTTCAAATATTTCTTTGCAGAATGCATAAATTTCTACTATTAATGACTGGGATTTTATGTAGCATCAGTAAATGCCTAACAGACGATGAAAGTAGTGCTCGGTTATTAGTTTCTAAACAAATTTTAAATAAATATTTAGTGGAACAAAGTGATTTACTTGTACGCTACACTATTTATAATGTAGGCAACGGTGCTGCGACTAATGTAAAATTGGTTGATAATGGTTTTCATCCCGAGGCATTTGAAATCGTGGGTGGCCAACCCACCGCCACAGTAGAACGTATAGCGCCTCAAGCTAACTACACCCATGTGCTTGTGGTGCGTCCCAAGTCCTATGGATATTTCAACTTTACTGCTGCCGAAATTACTTATAAACCAATAGAGGAAGCTGAAAAGGTTCGTGTTCACTGTTCTAGATAACAAAAGAAACCAATTTCATTGCATTTTCCTTATTATAGCTACAGTTAACAATCAGCTCTGAACCCGGAGAAGGTGGCATTGTAAACTTGGGTGAATTTAATAAGCGGTTTTCTTCTCATTTCTTTGATTGGTTTGCCTTTGCAATTATGTCTCTCCCTTCGTTGGTAATACCGCTAGCCTTATGGCATTCATCCAAAAGTAAATACGAACGTTACGGCAAAAATAAAAAACATTAAGATCTCCAATATGTTCGATTGATATCGTTACACGGAAGGAGGACTTTAGCAAAAATCGTTTTAGATTTAACGCCGAAAAGAAAGGAGATAACATACTCTACGTTTACAATTTTCTTTCATAGTTGTTTAACTCATCGACCTTTTAATAACGAGTTTTGCACTGCTGGAGAATCACCTATAGATAAATTCAACGCATATGCTTACATTTTTTAGACTACATACAACATGTCATCATGTGAGATTTTTTTTAAATAAAAATTTATTAAAAAAAACAAAATTAAACTTACACTGAAATTCCAATGTTCAGCTTAAGGTTCACGGTAATATGCATAAACTACTTTCAGTTATAAATAATCAAACATTTTCATCGCTAATATTATTTTAAAAAAAGATTAAAAAAAATGTTTTTCTTATTTCCAATAAAAGTTGTTCTTTCAAAGTTCTTTGAAATATTTTCATATTACACTTTTGTATAAAAAAAAAAAAACTTAATTTGTTGTTATTATTATCACATGAAACTTTAACTGAACGACTCTTTGTTGAGGGAAATGGAATAAGAATATTGGTGATACTGGAAAACTCTCTATCTTAAGTACAAAAGCAGAATTCTTTTAAAAATTCTATTAATGTATAACATCTTACATAAGTAATTTGGCCACAAGTGTTTATTTTCCTTTCAGAATCAATTTTATTTTTAGCTGGAATTTCTCTTGGCCAGATTTTTTTAAAATGCTTTTCGTCTTTTCAACAGTAGTTATTAGGAAAGTTTTTATCGACGTTTGAAATGGGTCTGAAAATTAGTATGCTTTAGCAGAGATCTTAAAGTTTTCAACGATTGTTGAACGTTGGAGAGCCGCTTGTTACTAGCCACAATTAAGTCTTAAATTTAATAATATGTGGGACTCTGGGTTTTCCCAATAAGGATTAGTATATCCTTACTTTTATGATGACGTGACACCTTTACGGGCTACCAACATATTTAAAACTGGATTCTTTCGTATATAACTAACTGCCTTTTTATGTGTGACCATAGTGAAGTCGTATCCATTACATTGTAAAATTTTGTCGTGGATACGTAATCCGGCTTTGGCCGCTGGACTTCCTTCATGTACTTCGGTGACATAAATGCCCTAAAAATTTCAAAAAAGCATGAAAAATTAAAACTAGTCCACATCGGCGTGTAAAGCTTACATAGTCCGTATAGCCTTGTGGACTTTTCTTATAATCCTGATCTATGCCTCCGCCGATTTTAAAGCCACATTTTAGTATTTCTCTACCTTCGTGGTCGTAATCCTTTTCTTTATGCAACGTGATGGGTATCTAGATTGAAATATTAATTAAATTTTTCCGGCCTCATAACTAAAAATTTCGTAGATAAAATCCTTTTTCTTACTTACACTCAAACATTCCATAGCCGTACCGGCTTGATGCTGAAATGCCATTTTAGCCATTTTTATGTTAGTTTTTATTGTTAACTACCTATTTAATATTATAAAAATAATTGTTGCAATTTTTAACTTTACTATGCGAAATACACACAACAATTGTCCAATTAAATTGTCAAAGTTACACAGAGTTGCCTGGATTAAAAAAAAGGAAGAATTTGCAAATTTCAAATATAACTTTTGAATAAACTGCAGGGTGTCTATTGGTTTTTCTTTTTTAAGTAATTAATTTTTATCTCAAATTATTAATGAAATTTTAAGCATAGTTTCATTTATTTTAATGTCATTTATGAGGGCATTCTGTATTTATAAGTGCTTGAATTTTACCTAATGGTCAAAACGAGAAACAGCTGGCAATGACATTATGCGATTACTTATATTCCGGTGACCAGACAAAAAAAGCTTTAGATGCAAGATGTTTGACCACGTTTTGTGCCTTCTTCCTTTGATTTAAAAACTTTCTTTGTTCGAGTTCAATAAGAATAATCGTTAAGCTTTGCTTAAGTCGCTATTGTGTCAAGTTTAGCTAATTATGTGAGAAATAATCGGCAAGCATACATTACAAATGTAAGTTAAAATATGACAAATTTATTAGTATCATTGTTATTATGTAATAAAGTCAAGTAATATTATAGAATAGAAGCATATAACCATAACATTTTATGAGTCATTGCCATGAAAAATTATGCACTACGCGGGTGAGAACTATAAAAATCGATTTGATATGTAATTTATAAAGCACCGGTAATTTTAATTATAAATAGTACGAAACATAAGGAATTAATAACGATTTAATGGAAATTCCATTGTAGTTGTAGAAAAGAAGGAAACCCATTATATGAAAGATTTAAATACACAAGGTAAAATATGTTATGTTTGAGGTTATTATAAATATTATATAGAGTTCTGTACGGCGTCATTAATCTCGGCTTCAAAGGATATCTACTATTGCCTGAATATATAACAATGATACGCAATGCTTTGATTTATCTCACTATTTATTAAGGAGCCAAACATTAGCTTGATCCTAATTCTCTGCGAACTTTTACGTTAGTTTCGTTTATCATTTTTGATATAACAACTTAAAATGTACGCTGCGCAGCATTAAAAATAAATTACTACGGACCAGCCATCGGTAACCTCGACACGTCAACAACTGCAAAGTTATGGCTAAAGGCATTACCAGTGGTATGTACGTTTTCTTGAAACCACCACTCGGACCAAGTTTTTGTAAAGTAAAATGAGCCTTTTTTGAAACACGGAACTTCTGCATAACTCTACATGTGACAATTAATATATATAGTTGTTCACAAATTTAAAAAACAATGTGCTTACGCGTTTACAGGTAAAGTAACTGGTTTGACGTGTCTCGCAGAGCCCTTCTGCGTTGCATAAGGATCCTTCTCCGGGAATCTCGATACGTCTGTTGCGCTTAATACCATAAAGGAAGAACACGAATCATTCTACATAATTCTAAAACCATTAGGCCGGTGGACGATGACACCAATGAATTTCTGCAAAATTATCAAAGGAAAAGAATTTTCAGCCTTTTGTAAAAAGAAAGTTAGTTGGTTTCTTGTTTTTTTGGTTGATAAAAGAGGAATGGATCGGGGCTGTAAATGATAAAACTGATATACCCTGTAACGTTTCTCCACGCACTTGCTTAAGAAGTTATATGCACGTTATTCAGTTGTCGCCATTTTTCTAAACATGAATCCCCTACAATTTTATTCAAAACATTCTATAGGCAAGTAGAATACATGCTACGGCAAAAATGTTTGTGTGCGCTTGTTGACTAGCACCCACTAGACTCCCTGCTTTTTCTTTCTCGTTATTTATATCGGTAAAAGTTCAGTTTATGACTGATTGGTATGACGTCGTATATTCCAAGCCTATGCCCTATAACTTATTCTATTTAAAGAAAATATGGTGGAATTGATTTTGCCATTCTTACTGACATTTTCTTATCTGATGACGATGTGTCTGACTTGAAAGTCTCAAACTATAATTCGATATATAAATATCGTGTCGACGGATGCGTTGGGGTAGCCGTCCTCTTTAAAAACGGAATCCTCTTTAGGCAAAAGCCGCGCAGCTTGGTGACAGTCTCTAACAATAGGGGCAAGATTCTCTTCCAGTTCCAGTAGTTCGATTGCCAGTGGCGCTGTAGACCTAACCTTTTTGTATTCAAATTTTATAACTTTTCAACTCAATGTCAGAAGACAAGTTCACCTAACAAACAATCGCCTTATTCCGATTACTTTTCATACTAGTATCAACTCCTCTCTAAGGATCAATAGATTCATATCTCACAAAAAGCTGTTAGCTCGTTTAACCAATTTAAATGAAGAGCTCGAAATTGAGTCATTTTACAAAAACTTTGACCAGAAAATTCAATCGGTTTGAAAAAGTGGTAAGATATGTAAACCCCGCCAATTTTGGAAGCTTCATAGAAATACCAAAAATATGGAAGATGGCGATAAGAAAAGCGAAAATGAAACACTGGGCACTAGAAATTCAAGAGTTTGGCCTTTTAAAGGCCACAAATGTCAAGGTTAAGGAAAGATTTATGAAGTTTCTGATCATCAGAAATCCCCCTCTCCCGGTCTTATCTAACACATATCATCGAATATATGCATAAATGAAGTTCGTTTCGAAATATCAAGTGAAAAAATGGCTTAAAACAAAGTCGTAATGCTCTCTTTACCCGTCAACAAGCCCTATGAGTTTGCTCATCTGAGTAAAGTTTGAAAAATTCAAAGAAATTTTTGAAATACCACTACCCCTTAGATTTGGATATTAGCTTTCCCTTCATTTCGTGTTTTAGTTATGGGCTCAAATTCGGTTGAAGGTTTTGAAGTTTTACCGCAAGGCAGCCCCATGCTCTCCAACCTATATACAGTTAGCCTACATCGGATTCAGAACAACAAAACACATGTATTTCAATATGCTGACGAGTTTTTTTTAGTCTCGGTTTTTCTTTAGAAAGGTCTTTCAACGAACCAATTAATAATTTTGCTATCAAGGGGAATCTGTTTTACAAAGCTTGTGCTAATTTAAGCATGTCCTTCAATCCTAACAAATCAAATACCATCTGTTTTGCAAAAGGATCTAAGAAAGTTAACAATACTTCCATAAAGGAGCTTTTAAAATCTGTCAATCTGGGTCAAATATCATGAAACTTACAACCAATCTGCAAAATAGGCCCTTTCCAAAGAAATCTTTGGCGGCATACAAATCCTTAGGCCGATCAAAAATACAATATGCCTATTGCACCGCATACAATTTTCCAGATTATATATTAAAAAAAAATACATACTTTTCAAAGCACACTACTAAGACGGTGTATTGGACTTTCCTTCTCGAAACCCATACCCATTCTAGGACGCTTCTCATATTAACTGGCTATTTCTAAGAGGGCAAAGGAACTTTAAGAGCCAAGATTTTTACCCCTACATTTTTCCAGCTAGTAGCTTCCAGGTATAATGAAGTCTCCACTAAGTGCCAAGTTGCCACCAAAAATTCAGTCATATTTCAAGCAAGGTCAATTCTATCCTGGTCTCTAGCTTAAGTCACTCCAAGTGCAAAATTGATCTGAATATCCTTAATCTATAGCTAACTCCAAAAGGAATTTACTGCTCTTAAAAAAACAAAAAAGAGCCAGCGAGTGTATGAAAAAAAGAACAAAAAAACAATAAAAAATTAATGTAGAAACAAGCAAGTTTCTTGATTGATTAGTGAAATAAAGAGTTAAGAAAAACTTATTCAAAAGTAGGAGCTTCAAGAAGACTTTTATTGACTCAATTAAATAAAGGAAAAATGTTCCTTAAACTTATAACTTGAAAACAAATCTCTTTTATTTTTGACGTCACGGAAAAATTATGTCAAACGCCGTTGCGTTTAAGACTCGCTAGAAAGCAATTCAAATTTTATAAAAATTACTTTTTACTTAAGGTTGGCAACTCTTCACGACAGCTGTTTAAAAAATAAAAAAGATCTATAAGAAAAAAGGAGCTATTGCCCCGTTATAGCCAAGTAATTATAACAAAACAGGTACAAAATGCCAACGGAAATCGAAAATCTTAATCCCAACGTATACAGTAAATGTAAGGAACGGGCTATAACCAAAGAAGATATCGATGAAAGTATTCCAGATCCTTTCGACACGCGAGAAATCTTTGGTAATATTTTTGTTTTGTCAAACTCTAAAATTCTATACCGTATTTTTTGTTGCATTTTATAAATTGGTTTACTTTTCAATAATGCAAATGCGGGGAATTGCCGTAAAAATTCTAGATCTTATTCGCAACATTAATGATCCTGAACATCCGTTGACATTGGAAGAATTAAGAGTTGTTGAAGAAGATTTGATCAAAGTTCGCAATGATTGCGATGAAGTTTTTGTCAATTTCACTCCGACCATACCGCACTGTTCTATGGCGACTTTAATTGGCTTGTCCATACGCGTTAAGTTATTAAGATCTTTACCGCCACGTTTCAAAGTAACCGTAGAAATAACTCCAGGAACACACGCTTCCGAGAATGCAGTAAACAAACAGCTAGCAGATAAAGAAAGAGTGGCAGCTGCTATGGAAAATAAACATTTGGCTGAAGTTATTAATCAATGTATAGCTTTAAAAGAAACAGATGTAGGCCTATTTGTGCGCTAAATGTCAACAATAATAAAAGAATTTTTTTTTTATGTTATCAATTGTGTTTCAATTAAAGTAATAAAAGATAAAAATACAATAGACGCTATATCCTTAATTGCAAAAAAACTAAGTTTTCTTTTTGGCTTGCATCGCAGAAACTTCTGTCCTCTGCTTGGTGGGGTCATACTTGTATGTTTTGACAAGAGGACCTCTACCGGCCTGCGAGAAGCGTATCTCATCCATGCGCTGACGTTCTTCAATCTCCTTAGCAATTTTCATGTTTTGCCAAGCTAGTAAAATAAAATGAATAAAAGAGTAATTTACGCAACAACAAAAAGAAATTCTTAACTCACAGTCTTTCATGCCCTCGACAAACTTTTTCTTTTTCATGGGCAAGGCCTCGGGTGCATGGACCACCATTTTGTCAATCTTAAAAAATTCGCGCACAGAAGGAATTTTTAGAACAGCCACCTGATAAATATATGTTAGTATTAACATTCAGCCCAACATGTTTTCTTTCTTACTTGACCCAATGATATGAAATTACTACAAGCCCAATACGTCAAAATTGCCGCTGGAAAATTCATGGTGAACGGAAATATAACAATTGGCAACGCTCGCAAGATATATTTCATTGTTCCCATATTCTGTGCCGACAAACGAGCACTGTCCGTACCAATTTCTATCGTCAAGTATAACGTGGCACTTGTAATAATGGGCAGCAAGAAAGTGGGATCGGCTATAGTTAAATCCGTAAACCAAAAGAGTCCACCATTTCGCATTGACTCAACCGGTGTATTAGCCATTGTTCTTAAGCCCATGAAAAATGATATGAATAGCGGCGCTTGAGCAAGAGGCACAATCATGTTCTTTAATGGGTTGACGTCCTTCTCTTTCATAAATACCATCATTTCTTGAGCATAACGCGCGGAGTCGATAGCATTACCCGTCTGCCGAGCTTCAGTCATTTTCAGTTGCAACGCTTGTAATTGTGGCATATAATTGCTCATTTTGGCCGCATTTCGTTGAGCCAAGATTACTAGAGGAAATATTAATGTACGTACGACCGCCGTTCCTAAGGCTATAGCTGCCCACCAAGGCAAATCCCAAGTTACATGTAAAAACTCCATACAATTTTCAACCAATCCAACCGGCGACCAGCCTCCTAAGCCGATCGAAGCAAATGTTGGCTCTCCGAGAGCATTTACAACCTGTGTTGCAGTCTCTTCAGCACTTGGCGGAACTACCGGAGGCGCTGGTATATCCGCTAAATTAACCATAGTTTTTTCCGTCATTTCACCAGCACCATCCGTGTGGACATAAGTCAAACCTAAAGCCCCGATAAATTGACTATTGAATTTTGCATTCCCGCCTGACCCTGTGTGCACACGACTATCTCGTTTATTTAGTGCTGGAATAGTAGCAGCTGTTGGTGTTAGCTGGGATATAGGCAAATTTTCGGTTTTTTCATAATTTGTAGCTCGTTTACGGATTTTCCCATGGACGCCTTGATCATTCATAATCGGTACTTGACTATGGCATTCCGCATTGCAGTAGTACAATCTACTCACTTCAGTATCCCGTTTATTTAATACTGGGATACCAGCATCTCTTGGCGTTACCTTGGATATAACAAAATTTTTGTTTGCCTTATCATTTTTGCCGGCTTTACAGATTACGTCATAGAAACTTCCATCAGCTGTCGTCAATAATTGGCTATGGTATTTTGGTGGTGAGTTCCGGACAGAACAATTTCCGTTTATTTCATTATTTTTGCCCAGTTTATAGGTATGGATTATGCCATGGAAACTTAAATTATCCATAAACTGTTCTTTACTATGGTATTTTGCATCCCGGCATGACAAACTGTTCGCATCACTATCATGTTTATTTAATATTGGGATAGTATTATTAATAGTAGCAGCAGTTGATTTTAGCTTCGATATAAAAACACTTTTGTTCTTCTCATAATTTTTGCCCAGTTTACAGGTTATGTCATGGACTCTTGGCAACGCTCTTTTAAGTTCAATCTTTTCAATTATATTTTTATTCAAATTTCTCTTTAAATGAATTGATTTAAACACTTTTGCCTGACGCAGCATTTGCAAACGTTTAAATAACATTATGCTAGTTCACTTTTGTTTTTTTTGTGATTTTAAGTGTAATTCTAGATTATTGAGTTGTTGTTACTGATGCGAAAATAGTGTTGCAAACTTTTTTTTTTTTTAGGATATTAAGTTAAGACGGACAAAGTCAATAAATTTATGGCTTATATGTCCAGATAATAAACAGTAGTAATTATTGGCAAGAAATGTATATATAAAAAACAATAACAACAACAAAACCCGGCCGTAATAGGTAAAGCCATAATGTTAAGTGCAATTGTAGATTGTTGAGTTGTTGAAAGTAATATGAAAAAAGTTTTGCAAGCTTTGGCTGAAAGCAAAAAAGTAACGTTATAGCCATAGAAAAAGATTGAATGTAAAAAATAAAAAAAGAAAATAATTTATCATGCATTAAAAAGATAAATTCGCTTTTCCAATAAAGTTATAAATAATTTCCCGAGATGACGTACATTTTTTGCTGCAAAGAGATCGAGGAGACAATCATATAACTTCAAGAAGTTAAAAGAACTCCTGTGATAGCTGAGTATTAGATGGTCAGCAGGCACGATAATATTGCAAACTACACAAATATCACATGGTATAGCACAAATCATTTGTAAATACGCTTTATCATAAGTGTGATCACTCATGAGTCAATAAAGAATTTTGATTTGCCAGGAATTCAAAGAAGCCTCTGAAAAAGATTTAAATTAAAATGTCGGAATTATTTTATAGAAAAGACGATTGGGTTTAACACGCACAATTCATCGTTTAATTGTTCAAAGATGTGGTTGCGAATGGCCCGTATTGCATCATTGGGAGGACGAAATCGACCCATCAACTTCAGCTCTTTTTGCATGAAAATCAGGTGACGGTTATATATTTGAGATTCCTATAACATTATATGAATATCAAACACATATTCATTATCAACATCACTTATTTATAAGAATCAGAGCTGACTTACTATCAAAAAAAAAAAAAAAAAAAAAACAAATTTTTTATGACCATCCATAATGGTTACCTTAATAGCATGTCTAATGGCAAGCAATTCAATAAAACTGGAATAAAGTTCCTCCGCGATTTTGACTTTATATGTTGTGTTAAACAGATGGTTCACTACCGAGAAGCTAGACACATTACGTTCAACATATATATCATACCTGTTGTTGTAATAAAGAAAAAGTTTTTCTTGGCATAAGATCCTCACACAGGAAAGATTGAACTAAGAAAATATGTAGCTGCAAGAGACAGTATCACTGAGACAAAACTTTCTAAAAAAAGGAAGGATTCATCATCTTGACCTTAATTAACTCCTTAGCAGTGCAAAAACGAGCTCTTTCGGACAAGTGCCATTTACCAGAAATGACATTGAGAATATGTTGAAGAGTTGAGCGGATCAGTCAAGTACAACGTTTCAACATTCTATTTTCGGATATTTGTATATGTCTCTTAATATGTTTTGGAAAATTATAAGATGTAGACTGTGTATACTCAACATGACTAAAGCCCTGCACACTCTTGTGGGAAACAAACCTGACTATTTGTTAACCATGAGGTTGATAGTACCACATCTAGATTGATAGTCTTTAAAGGCTTCCTCATAATGCCCACGAAAAATTGGGCAGCCATTTAAAATGCTACCAAGAAATGTGGCTCAGAGATTCTATAAGCATTCAAAATATGTGGTCATTGCATCGTAAGATTATCAGCTCCATTAAGCTAACTAAAGCGTTCGCAAATTTTGCGTATTACTATGTGATAGTGAATTTATGCTCGGTATTCGTATCGACAGTAGATACATCCCTTTTACATCGTTTTTTTTATAAATCTTTTCATCTACAAGTACACAGCAAAACGCAACTTGCTGTAAGCAACATATAAATAAATATACAAACAAGTCTTGATTCTAATAACCAACGATCAATTCGATCAATTAAGCGCCAACTCTCTCGAATATCGTGATACAAATAGTTTGAAGGAACTGACGGTGCGGATCGCCTTATGGATAGTGCAATATATTTTCCGCATTATTTACATATATTATACTAGATTATACATTTGCTTGAATCTTTTTCTGAAGAAGAATCCAAAATAAATTCATGGTTTTTGAAAATTTCGTATTTGATCAAATTTAACTGCCACTGCGTTTTATTTCTATTTCAATCCATCTTTGCATAAAACTCATCGCTAACTTGACGGGTAACACAATAAACAAACAACCGCAACAAGCTTATTATTTCACTTGAAAACAAACTGAATTTAATTTAAAAATGCAAGAACGCTTTTTATATTTTTTTCTAAAATCAAGTTATATTATTTTCAACAGAAAAAAATTGCACTGTATTTGTATTGTTAATGTTATTGCCCGCCGTGGATAGATCTGATGTAGTGAATAAATTGCTTTTCACTTTTATTTTAGTTTTAAGTATTTTTACGGAATTATCATCATTTTTATGTTGACTATTGGACACTTCATGTTTCGCTTGATGTACAGTCAAGAGTGCCCGATTAACGGTGGAAAACAGACATTGAGAGCATTTATGTATCACCGAATCAACCTGATTAGGATGTCTTTGATGCATATGTTTCTGAAACACAAAAATTTCATCAGTATTATGATCAAATTTGACGCGACGTGGTAATCCCATAACAATTTTCGACATTATTTATAATAGTATATAAAAAATAAAAACTTTGCATAAAAAAAAGTAAATAATTAATAGATTGTGTGTTATGAGTTGTCCTGTATTCAAAATCAATAATCAATAGCGCGGAAATATTTCGGGTATCTATATAAAATGCCAGGTGTCCTCTACTAACCTGATACGGCACACTTTGAACCGATGTATAATCGCAATAAGGGCATTGGTACATTTTTTTTTGCTCATGGCTCATTTTATGTCGCCTATACGCGTTATGATCGTTTGTTGAGTAATCACAAGTCTGACATTTATAACGCTTATCTGAATCGCAATGCGTTAACATATGCAATTTTAATGAAGCCCTAGAGCTTACAGATTTTTGACACATATCACACTGTAAGGAGGTTTCTCTGTTTTTGCAGAAATGTCCGCGAAGGGATTTTAATTGAGAAAATAACGCCCCACAATGCGCACAACGATGCATAGCTGTCAGCTCCTTCAACGTATTTGCATCGCGATTATTAGTACGTGTACGATGCCATCTTCTGTGATTTTTTAATTGTTTGGAATTTTTGAAAGCCTTCTCGCACTGATCACACTTATAATTTCGATCATCAAAATGAATTTTGGCATGTGTATTAATTAGACGGGAGTAGACAGGAGTTTTAAAATTGCATAATTCACAACTATACAATTCCATATCAATCATGTGATTACGCCAAAGATGGGTATGCAATGTATTCCAGTTATTAAAGTCATGCGACTTACATTCGGGACAAAAAGCTGCTTGGGGACTTTTGGAATTTTCATCATGGCATTTCCTGTGGTAGTCCAATGTTTCTGATTTTTTAAAACGAAATGCACAACCTTTAAGCGAGCATTTTAGAAATGATTCAGCCGCTTGGATGCTATCTTGGCTCAATTTTGTGATGCCTGTACGATTCGAACCAAACGGCCTCCCGCGCACGGAAGTACCGGAAGTAGTTGATACGACCACAACCGATTGTTTTGGTTGTTCCATTAAATTATTGGCAACATAAATACGACCTTTTTCCGAAGGTGCTTTATTTGCATTACCGCAAGGGTTCAGACCTGCAGTAGCATTCAATTTAATCAAAGGCGATACTGGTACTAAAGGTGGTAAACGTATATCATTGCAAGTGTTGCTCCTCTGAGTTTTGCTATGGCTTTGTATGGGATCCATTCTGACAACTGTATTTGATACAGGTGCTAAAGGTGGAACATCGCTTAAGGGCGGTAGCGTGGCGGTTAAATTAATCAGAGTTGATTTGGTTGTCCCATCAGCAGGTGATTTAGTTTTTCCAGGAACTTCATCAGGAGTACAATTGTTTAATTCTCGTTTAAGATTGCTATCATTTCTGTCGACTTGTTGTGGTATCTCTATTTGCAATGAAAAATTGCCATTGTTAACATGAACATTCTCTGGCGGAACCTCAGTGTCCTCAGTAATAGGCAACTGATCAGTAAATGTAACTTGTTGGCCGCTTGATTCTTCCATATTGGAAGTGTTTTGTATTAATGTTCCTCCAGTTAACTCTTCAATATCTCTTATAGATATTAACGTAACTTGAGGCGTATCAATATCAATATTTGCGTTGGAAACCTTTTGGGTATTTTTTGTATTGGGGGACAAATTGTCTGTTACCAGATTGCAGGGCGCCTCGGCTATAATACAGTTTATATCCTCGGCGAGTTCCTCATAGTTATCCGACCATTCATTCACCATTTGTGTGTCTAAGTCATGGAATTTAAAACTTTCATCCGGATAAAAGTTATCCCCCAACATGTTGATAGCATCCAAATTAATTGACGAGCTTTTATCAATAAAACCGATAGAATGATTATTATCTAAATTTGGAGCAATTAAATTTTGTACTTCATTTTTATTCATTAAATTCAACTCATCAACTGTGCGTAGATGCAATGTACCCCTCTGCTCTTGGACTAAGCCGGAATATGACGATGTCTTCTTCTGTAAAATGTATTAAATCAGATTAATAGAGATCATTTAATGTCGTTAAATCAGATTAAAAGGTGTCGTTTACCAGATCAAAATCCAATTCAGTTGCATGTGAACTATTTGGTGGTGGCGTAGGTTCGGTGATTAGCGGCAAATTATCCACGGGCGCAGTATTTAAGGCACAGTCTAAAGTGTTTGAGCTAAATAATGTATTATCCAGCAAGTAATTATTGTTATTATTTTTATTGCCGTTGTGACTTGTATTATTTAAAAACTGGAAGTTATCAGAATCGTTCTGATTATTTAAGAAACTATTGCTGCCATTATTTAGATTGTTATTGACACTGTTGTTATCATACAAAAACGGTAAATGCACTAAATTTGAGTCATAGATTTGACTATTTCCAGCTAAAGTGTGATTTTCGTTAAGATAATTCGAAGTACTTATAGGCGGCAGTGATGAGGACGGCATTAGGTTAAAGCTTTCTACACTTTTTACATAAATTTTGGGTTTTCTAGATTTTTGCATAGGCTCTTCACCACCGCCGACGTGGTCTAAATTCTCATTACTGCTCTCACCAACAGCTTTGCAATCATTTTCGATAGGTTCTGTGGGCTGATCATAATTGAATTGAGATGCTACGTTTAAATCAATTTGATTGTCGCTGTTAGTGGTGGCAAAGTTATTAAATCCATTTTGCATTTCGTAGTCCCGTCTTAATAGGGCAGGCTCTCTTAATACATCCACACTTTTAATAGAAATTTTTTGCTTTGGTGGGTTTGCATTTTTCGTCACTTGATTATCAATCCTCTCCGTGTTATTTTCGCAAATAGGATTTTGTTCTATCGGTTGACGGTTTGGTTCTCGTAAGCACTCGACATTTTTCAAATAAATTCGGCTTTTTCTTTGAGTTTCATGAGGCGCTTGCTGACTTCTAAGACTTTGACTTGAAGATTGAGTATTATCTAAATTTAAATCTAAAAGGTGCTTAGCTATTGGTCTTAGGGAATTCTCCATTAACTTTGTGACATCTGTTTCTGACATCATGTGATCCAACTGCAAATGTATTTCTAATGCTTTTCGGGCATAAAATATATTTGAGCAACCTGGTGAAAAAGAGAAAAGTGTAATTTTTTTCTTTTTACTTAAATTATGATATTATCATACCGAGACAATCGATTGATTGTTGCACTTTTGTTTGATTCACATCCGAATGACTGAGTACTAAGTGCTCATTTCGATCAGATTCTCTTAAGCTAACAAAAGGACACTTATTGCATTTGTACAATTGCGGTTTCTGCTCGCTACGGCGATTGTCATCGTTATTTTTTTCTATTCTCTCGGTTGTCATCGATTCGATCATTTCGGTAGCTATGCTCCCATTCGGTACTTGAGAATTTGTTCTTGTAGGCGGCGTGGGTGTGGCGTTAGCACGTTCTTTGGTAATGGAGTCGGTATTTTCGGATTTAATGGGTTCCGATTTGATTTCCTCTTGTTTGTTGACATTGCGCCGAAAGACATTACCAAAATTGGTACGTTGTGGTTGCATATCTGTTGTGTGTATTTGAACAAATGGTATATTCCCAAAAACATTCTTCGCTGATCCAGATGAATTTGTTGTAACTGATGAATTAATCGCAAGCTTTTCTACATGGTTTTCCTGGTCTTGTCGATTCGAATGTGTAAGAAATGTGGTAAACATATTGGATTGTTGTGCTTGATTCGAACTTGTTGTCGGTATGTGATTAACTTCCACGCTAGCTATATTACTCAGATAATGCAGTGACGATGGAATTTCATAGTCCATAGTTTGTATGAGGGTGTTTAGATCGTTTACCTTATAGTTATTTATATAATTAGAAATGTAAATTCTTTAACGTCTGATTTTTTACCTGATGGGTAGCAGTTGTACCAAAGAAGCTCTCATAATTGCTAAAAGTTGCATCGTTCATTGTATTTGAATCCTTGCTTGAAGTATTTCTATAAATTTAAAAAGCTAAGCGGAATTGTTAAATTTTCAGTAAACAAATCACTAGAATTTCCTACAGAATCCTCTCACGGTAAATGAAAAAAACTACTTATAATACACAACAGCTGAGCGATTGTTTATATTCCCGAGTTGCCATATTTTACAATTTCCAATTGTTCGAATAGGTATTTAAATTTTATCCTTTCAACGCTAAATAGAATAGGAAAATTATCCCTTCCAATTCAAAATAACAAATTTTTCGCGTTTAACTAAAGAATTGAAGTAAATGCAAAATATAATTGTTAGACTTAGCTCCAATATTTTGTTATTTTTGCACCTAAAATATTGAACTTGTTCGCTTATTCGTTAGAAGATTGTTCTTCATATTTTCATTACAAACGTAGAAGAGTAATGGCGTAATTTTTTTTTACGTAGATATCTTTAAACCTGCACAGCAATCTGTTCGTTATTGATTAAATTCTATCCTCCTGTCTAACACGATGTCTTCAATATTTATAATAACAGCCGACATATTCTTAATTTTTCGTGAATATATGTAGTGCTATAGGACTCAACAACTTTATTAAAATTATGATACAAATCTGTACAATATTAAACATTATAAATTATATTTGTTTAAAATAAACATAACTCCGACAAATTTAACTCGAATTAATTAATTTTGATTTTAAACATTAAAAAGACCGTCGGAAGTCTAATTCTCGTCAAGTTTTTTTTTTTAATCGAACCCAATCTTTAATATTATTTATTTTATTTTGCGTAAACGGATGAAACTTAATCATGACTATGCAGCTTACACTCTTAGAACATATGTCAGTCTTGTCTTGGTGTAGAATGGAGATTTAGAGGATTTCGGATCTATTGTACGACCCAAATGATTAAAAAAGATAGCCAAATTTTGAGCTGAAAACTTAACAATAGAATCAATGAACTACGAAAGCGTACGTGATTTGAAAAGCAAAGACTTTTTAATCACCAGAATTCAAACCGTATTAAAAAAGTACGCATAGCAAAATTGTGCGCTTACTTATTTTTGCCAGTGTGCGAGCTCATCAAATATATTGAAAAATACAAGAAAAACTAAAAAGAGCAATTGTTTCGGGCTTGTTTTGAATGAATTTTTCCATAAATGTCATTTGTCCCTGTTCGCCGTTTCCTTCCAGAGGCATGTATATAATATATATATATATTTAAAATTAAAAGAATATTCTATATTGTATTTCACGTAATAACATTTTTTTGTAAACATTTCCTTAACGTTTTAAATTGACCATTGTAATAACCATGGTATTCCGTAATCCTACGCTGGTTTAATTAATGGTTAAATGAAATCAGTACTTAGAGTATGTTAAAAAATGTTTAACTAGAAAAGACCTTCATACGAAAAGTTATTATGATTTTATGATAGATTGTTGATTTATTTTTGTACTTTTAGATAACGAGATTCCTTTTATATCTATTATATATTGGGATCTCTTTGGATGTTAATATAAATTTTAAGCAAGTACAAATTTCCATCATCTGTACAGATTATGCGATGAATGGATTTAATAGTAAGTTGAAAATATACCTAGTTCAAATGAATGCCAATCCTTTAAAAGAAAGAACATTAATATACAATTAAAAAGCAATTTGTTATAAAATGTTAATACGGAATTGGAAAATGATGTGAAAATTGACCAAGCGTACAAATTTAGGATGATAAAATTATACATTTCAAAGAATACGCCTTAAAAGATAACTTATGATCGGTTCTGTAAGGTCGTATATATTCTAAACAGATTTGTTATCTTCGATGTATAGAAGTGTAATATAGATTTCATAACAATTTTTAAGAACACATCCATGCACATCATTTTAATTTATTATTAAAAATGCATATCTTTAAGTAACAACAAAATTTAATAGTTCATACATATATATTTTAGGAAGTTTAACTGATTTACATTTAAAAAAAAATTTACTGCTTATTTCAGTTCAATAATCAATTAGCAGGTCATATGTAATTCAAATTGTTTGTAATTTAATTCAGATCCAAATGAAAAAATGAACAGGTTGTTACTTTTTCCTTTTGTTTTTTTGTTTTGTTTTAACTTTATAGAAAAAGAAAACAAATCATATTTTATTATATGTTAAAAATATTGTAAATAAATAGAAAAGTAGCGCTGCGCTCTTTTTTTTTTCAGTTTTGTTTTCTGTCGGTCTGTTAATTTCTCTTTATATAATTGCAAGATTTCTTTCGCAAGATGCTTCAAAATAATCTTGAAGTTCAAGGCGGGTAAAGCGCATTTTCATAAAATTTAGACGTCCTTGAGCTCTGGTGGCAGTTCGTTTTTGGGATGTTTATTTTCAAAATGTTGTTTGTACGTTTTCGGGTCTGGCATTTGAGACTAAGAGCAACGTTAATTTTAATACTGAATGTTATGAAAAGTAATGGTTTGATAGAAAGATGTTTTGTATACTTACTTTGCATACAGCACAAACATGAACTAAAGCCTTTTGTGCGGCCTTTTTTTGTTCATTGGCATTATGTCCCTGCTGTTTCTTTAACTTAGCCTGCTTTTCTTGAGCTTTTGCTTGTGATTGGATTTTTTGATGACCGCGAGCCATTATGTTATATAACCTTTAAGATGAGAAGCGAAAATAGAAATGAATAAATAAATCAATAATTGTAATCAATCGATTACTGCTAATATAAGTAATACTGAAATTTGATAATTTAATATTCTTAACAATGTGGTATCGTCTTCTGTAAATAACTAATCATTGATTACAAATGAAAACATGTCTATGTAGTTGTAACAAAAATGATAAAATAATTAATATAATTCATTTATAATCCAATTGCATAAACATTTTAATACATAAATATTTTATTTTTCAATCAAATTTTTGCTCGAAATGTACTAACAAAACATAAGATGGGAAAAAGAAAAGCTTCACTTTCACGGAAAAGCTACATGACGACTATAAGCGTTATGAAATTTTCTGGTTTTTCCAGTAAGTAGTAAATCAAACATTCAAAAGCATTAAACATGCATCAATTGCGATTCTTCATATTTTGTTTAAATACAAATGGTTAACAAGTCAACGCCACATACACACACATACAAGATTCAACTTTTTTTATGTACGTAGACATAATTTAATTATTTATCAAATATATTCTGGATACTTAGTAGCCATGATTACTTTTTTAACTCGTATTACTTTTTGCAAACATTTTTAATAAATTTTAAAAGCAAGTTAACACTTCTTGACCAATTACCTGATGTGGATTCTGTCTACGGCGCGCCACTTGTCCCACTTACCCGCTAAATTTTATTACTGATAAATTTTTACGGTTTCGTTTTACTAAATCTTAAAAAATATATATATTGTTGTGTTTCAAAAATGTTTTAACTATTATTTTCCGCACTGAATAATTTACAAAAAGAAATAAATAACCCAAAATCTCAGCAATGAAATATGTCAGCGTCTCAGCAAAATACGTTGAGTTGCCAACTTTACAAGTTTCGTTTGAAGTTTTAATATATTAGCTCTTAGGAGGTCGAGACAATGAGGCGTTATCCCCATTTTCCGGTTGGGACTTCAACTTTACCGACATTTTACAAGAATTTATTGCAATTGATAAATCATATGGTTCTGCATGTATACATACAGATACAACAAAAAGCTAAAAAAGTTTAAGGGAATATGATAATCGTTTCGTTTAAATTTCAAATTAGTTCATCTAATTAGATGTTTATTTAGTTAGATATTTATCTTGCACTAATGTTACTTATATTATATTTGCAATTTTCTTTTTTATCATTTATCTTGTAAGGAAAGATAAACAAGCAACAAAAACTATTTATTTTAAAATTGAATACATCCGTCAAATTGTTTTATTAGAGAGTGATGTTTATATAGAGAGTGAACGATAATTTCTAAATTATGGATTAATTAATGTAAGAAAGGGTGTATAAAATTTAAACAGATTATGAAGATTAACAAATAATATCTCGAATTGCAAAACTTCAAGCTAATAAACTAAATTCGAGACTAAGGATTATAAATTTGTTGTTTATGTTTAGGTTGATTTCTTTATTTTTGATATTAAAAGCATATGTTTTTGTTTACATATTCCTGCGAAAGTAGCATTTGAGAGTTTTTAACCTGAAATAACGCCTCATTATGCCAGCCCGCTTAGTTGTCTACATTAAGAAAAGAATGTATTTTTAACAATAATATATATTATTCACTACTTAGAATACGGAAATCTGCCACACGAAATAAATCAAGCAATAAAAATAGAATATGCATCTGGAATGACCTTGACGAACCTTTTACAATGCAAAAGTTTTTCAAAGCATTCATCCATTTGCGAAAGTGTGTGTTTTAAAGATTTCTGTGTAGAAATTTTATCTATATTTATTTGAGTGAGAAATGAAAGTCTCTACTTGACCTTTCAGTTATTCATAATATTCAATATTTTTACTCTTCACTGAAAAATTTTTGTTGCTCGAAGCTAAAATGAAGTAAACAAAAAACGAACAGCTGAGAAGTGCTTACAAATTTTTGAAATACCGTAGAGAAATTTGAAAGAAAATTAGAAATTTAGTTAGTTTTATTTATGTAAATGTTGGTGAGCATTTTAGATCTAAGCTCTTCTTTGTTTTCTTTTTTTTTTACTGTAAACCTCCAGCCGCCAATTCAGTTCAGTGGATGCTGACCACATTATTTACGCATAGGTTTACGAAAAAAGTTTGTTACGTTTTGCAAGGTTTTTCTTAATTTTCTTTTTGAATCAATTTTCATTGAAGCACTTAGGTATCACATTTGCTTCAAAACATCACAGTGAAACAATTCTTTTGTTTGCTTTGCAACATCATGATTAACATTATTTGTAATCAAATGTTATTGCCCCTTTGGTAACGTACGTATCATCTTTAGTATATATGCGAGTGACTGATATATTATTGTGGGCGCAAAATGGTAACACTGCCATCAAAGTAGTTTCTTACCCTTGACAGTATTAATTTTCTGCCTACTAAGTTTTCGTTGGTTTATGGCATGAATGTTTCATTAGAAAAAATATTAGAAAATACTGATTGTTGGATCTCAATTTGGAATTAATTAAATGTAAGTAATTATTTGAAATTCAATATCAGTTAAATAATACGCGAACATGTTTTGCACAATAGAACATTTTTATTTCAACTTCTGATTTATTCAATTTTTATAAAAGAAGAATCTATCGTAAATTCGAACGATTATTACTGAATAATGAATTATTTTCATATGATATCGACCTCTTATCCATACAGCAGCGGAAATATGTCTAAACGTAGTGCAGATGATGCCAGCGGAGGAGCGAGCGGAAGTGTGGCTTCAAACATTGGGCAGCCTCCAATTAAAAAAGTGCACTTTGAACCGCATCTCATCGGACCTGTTTCAACTCTCGAAGAAATGGATATTAAAGTTTTGGAGTTTCAGAACAAAAAATTGGCTCAACGTATTGAACAGAGAATGCGCACCGAGTCTGAATTGAGACATCGTATCGAACAACTGGAAAAACGACAAACTCAAGATGATGCCGTCCTCAACGTTGTTAATCGGTATTGGAATCAGCTAAATGAGGACATTCGAGTGTTGTTACAGCGATTTGATGCCGAAACGGCAGACGAATTAGAAAATAAGAATGAAAATGAGGTGACTACATCATTTTTAACCCAATTGTCAACCTGGGATAAAGAGGAACTCGACGATAAGCTGGCTAATCGTGTACAAGTTTCCAAAAGGGCAGTAGCGAAAATTGTTCAGGTTATTGATCGCATTATGCAGCGAAATGAGAAGATTACTATGGCTTTAAAAGGTGAAGTTAGTGCCACTGCAGGTAGTGCATCTAACAGCGGGGAAGGAGGAGGTGATGAGTCGCAAAATGATACCTCTTCCTTGAACACCATACCTAATTGTGAAGAAACTCTTAAACAAATGCACATTGATATAATGACTGAAAATCGTAACTTACAAAATTTAAATACCTCGTTACATGAGAAATTTCATACTATGTCCCTAAAAATGAAAGAATATCAAGATGCCTTAACAGCGAAGGAAACTGAAAATGCAGAGTTAAAAAATCAAATTGATGAACTGCAATACGACTTAGAAAAGGTACATTGTCGTAACGATAAACTCGAGAATCATTTGGCAGAGGCCATAGAGAAATTAAAAGCCTATCATCAAATGCATGGTGATCCTAACAAGAGTTCTGCGTCTAAAGCCACTGGGCATGGCCATGCCCATGTAAGTAGCCAACATATTGAAGATTTGCAAAAAGAATTAGAAGAATACCGTGAATTAGCTAATAATCGCCTTCAAGAGTTAGATAAACTGCATGCCACTCATCGTGAAACTCTGAAAGAAGTAGAGAAGCTTAAAATGGACGTAAGTCGACAATCTATTTATTATAGTTTTTAAACCTTGTTTTGTAAAAGCTTATTTATAGATACGTCAACTACCGGAATCCGTTATCGTTGAGACGACGGAATACAAATGCTTACAATCGCAGTTCTCTGTTTTGTATAACGAATCGATGCAAATTAAAACTATGCTGGATGAAACGCGCAATCAATTGCAAACTAGCAAAAATCAACATTTGCGTCAAATAGAAGTTATGGAAAGTGAGGAACTCATCGCGCAAAAGAAAGTGCGCAGTGAAATGATACAAATGGAAGACGTGTTGGCACAAATACGTAAAGAATACGAAGCCTTGCGTATTGAATTTGAACAGAATATGGCAGCTAATGAACAAACAGCTCCAATTAACCGTGAAATGAGGCACTTGATAACTTCTTTACAAAATCATAATGGACAATTAAAAGGTGAAGTCCAACGTTACAAACGTAAATACAAGGATGCTTCGTCTGATAATGTGAAGTTGCGACGAGAATTGGACGAAGCAGTGGCCAAATTGGAGGGTTCCAAACAACAAGGCGTCGCTGTGCAAGGTGGGAATTGCGATGACCTTAAGCAAGAGGGGTCAACAACAATAAAAGAAGAGTTTTCTGGCAATTCCGGCTCTACTGGTAGTAATTCAACTGATAGTGCAAATGTAAAAGAAGAAAACACTTCCATGAAAGCTGAAGAAGAGAGCATGGAAGAGGACGCTACAAAAGATCAAAAAGAAGGCGTAAAGAAGGAGCACTCATCACCGACCGGTGGAAATGCTGACAAAAAAGACTTTCAAACGTCTACGGGCTCAAATACCTCTTCTACTGTTGCTGTGGCTAATTCCGGACAAAACGTGACTATTAAACAAGAAAAGGATACAAAGGATGCTCAAAAGTCCAAAGATATTAAGGTGATGGAATCAGAAGTAGTGCGCGATCTGAAAGCACAATTGAAGTGAGTTAAAAACTGCGGGTAAAACACGTGCTTTATTCTCAGCTTAATTTTTAATTGTTTTTAGGAAAGCCCTTAACGATCAGAAAGAAATGAAACTTTTGCTAGATATGTACAAGGGCGTTTCTAAAGATCAACGGGATAAGGTACAACTGATGGCTACCGAAAAGAAATTGCGTTCAGAAATCGACGAATTGCGACAACAATTGAAAAAATTGCAAGAGAGCAAACGAGAAGAGCGCAAAAAGCTAGCTGACGAGGAGGCATTGCGTAAAATCAAGCAGCTCGAAGAGCAAAAATATGAGTTGCAGAAGCAAGTAGCAAATCAAAAGCCGGTTGATAATGCGTGGGGACCGGGTGGAGCTAACTACACGCGCCCTTTTGTAGGTTCCCATGAAGAAGAAGCTTTGCTTAATGAAATGGAAGTGACTGGCCAAGCATTTGAAGATATGCAAGAACAAAACTCTAGACTAATACAACAGTTAAGGGAAAAGGACGACGCAAATTTTAAATTAATGTCTGAACGTATCAAAGCTAACCAGATGCACAAATTATTGCGTGAGGAAAAACAAATTTTAGAAGACCAAATGGCCACTAGGGACACACAAATTGAGGCAATGCATATTGTTTTGCGTAAACTGGAGGAGAAAGAACGCAACTTGCAAGCCACTGTGGCTACTATAGAAAAAGAATTGGTGCTACGTCAGCAGGCCATGGAAATGCACAAACGTAAAGCTATTGAATCGGCGCAATCGGCCGCGGATTTGAAACTTCACCTAGAGAAGTATCACGCTCAAATGAAAGAAGCTCAACAAGTGGTGGCTGAAAAGACTAGTTCCTTAGAGGCTGAAGCCTATAAGACTAAACGTCTCCAGGAGGAGTTGGCCCAATTTAAACGTAAAGCAGAGCGCATGAAGAAAATTGAGATGGCTGGCACTACGATTGATGAAGTAATGCTTGAAGAGATACGTGAATATAAGGAAACATTGACTTGTCCCTCATGTAAAGTGAAGCGCAAGGATGCCGTGCTCTCCAAATGTTTTCATGTATTCTGCTATGACTGCTTACGTACGCGATATGAGACGCGTCAACGTAAATGCCCGAAATGCAATTGTGCCTTCGGGGCCAATGATTATCATCGCTTATATTTAACTTAAATATTTTAGGATTTGAAAAAAGAAAATAACAAAAACAAGTGGCTAGAATACCGCAGAATTATTTGCCAAAACTTCTCTAATTTATGTATAATATGGTTTTAATGTAGTTACTAAAAATTATTTGTGTCTTTCCATTTATTTTGTTTTAATGTATTTAATACTGAGAACACTCCCAGTGTGTCCACAATGCATATGATTTACAAATAGCGTGTCAATTTTTCATATTGTCATATATGAGGCACCGTTGAAGTCGCATACATTTTAAATTAGATGTAAAATGATCAATTTTCATGTTTTCTTTGTTTTTTAATTTTTTTATTTACCATCTATTCAATAAAGATAAGTAAGTGTTAGGGCAAGGTATAGTAAATAATAGAAATTATTGTCCCATCGATGGGAACAATATAACAATGCAAATACGATGTTTAAATAAATAAATAGGTACTATATAAACTGAATTAACTGAAACAATAAGAATAATTTGATTTCTAATTAGTAAGAGATATTGCCAAAGGATTTACGTGATTAATCAGAAAACGGGCACGGAGCTAGCTCGATAGCCAATTTGTGCGTTGGGTTGGTGGCTCTCCTTATCGAGTAACAATTAACGGAAATTGAGTTGATGGTACTCGATGGTGTTGGACCGATATGAAATATGAAATATGATATATTTTAGTTCGAAAGCGAAATGCTGTCTAGTGTCATTTTCACCAAGAAAATAAAGCAAAATGCCGTTGTAAAAGCATATATTTATAAAAATCAATGCACATAGAAAGATTACTTAATGTCAGAAATCTTTCAGTTTAGTTGGCGCTACCATATATAAAAAGGAATAAATGGGGAAATATGGGAATGATAAAAAGTGTCAATATAGGATTACCAGAAATTGTGTAACAATATTCTGGAAAAGTAATATTTAGTGTCTGGGCAGTATTTACGCAGACAAATTTTATATGGAAACTATATATATGTCAAGTTAGCCATTATAAAAAAAAAGAATTCGACAATTTAAATAAACAATGGTATATTTAATTCAATTTATTAAAATTAATCTTATATATAGCGATTAGTTTGCTCATCAATATTTTTAAAGTTGCTTTTAAGTTTTTCGAGGTAAATCTCATTCCTTCCTTACTTACTTAATCGAAATTGTTTGATAAACGTATTATTATTATTATTATTATTATTATTATTATTATAAATTTAGCCAGAGAATAAATTCTAAGACTAAAGTCTTAAAGCACTAACATCTAGGGCTATCGGCTGTTATTAGGTTGAGTTATTAGGTTACTTGAGGTTTGAACCCACGACTATTGAAGTTGCTAATCGAGACTCTTGCCTACTCGGCCACTCAGGCGGATTGATAAACGTAAAAACTATATTTTATTGTGTGAGAAATATATTTAATGGAAACTACACTTAAACATACTTAGGTGGCGGCAACGAAACACTCTATCTTGAATGTTTACATTACTTTCACCCGACTTGAGTGCAACGATAAAAATTCAATTATTTTTCGAAATTTAAAATAAACTTTTATATGTACTTATTCACTTCAGGTTATATTTTATTTATTAGATTTTGTTCTATATTTTTTTTTAAATAGATTTTAATTTTGTTGTCAAATTGTTTTTTTTTTTTTTTATTTCTTCTTCTTCTTCTGCAAATCAGCAAATTGACGAAGGACAACCAATGCACTGTACTGAGCAAAAAGGAATTTTATATTTCGTTTTAATTACTTTCTTCTTCTTCTTTACATTATTTTATTATACATACACCGACGAGATCAGAGGTGCGACGAACGAGAAGCACTACTCGATTCGAAAGCAAACTCGATCCAACTCGAAAAGCGATCATATTATAAACCTCTTTCGTATTGTGCGATGTGAAGCTCGATAACGAGATCCATAACTCGACCGCTGACTATTCAAGAAAGCCATTTTAGATATTACAAGTAATTTAATAGCTTTGCGCTGTGATCGGCTCATAAATTTGTATTATGCAAGTGACTCGTATAGCACAGATTTATATCAAATCTACTATGTGTTAGGTAAGTTCTTATATTGCTGAACGTGAACGGTAGGAGTTAACGATTTGATTGCTGCAGTGGTGTGAAATCCCTTTTTAAAATTATCATTGATATTGGCGCATAGGCCACCAATATGAGAGGTATGGATCTATAAATGGTATGAACCGATATGCAACCCGTAAATAATTTTAAAATAATTAAGCTACTTGATCCCAAAGTTCGCGGCAACATTACGTGTATGTGATGTTAGATAGTCCTCGTCCCCATCAGATGGAAGAAAATTCCCTAGACAAGATCTAATTTTGGAATTACGAGATAGGCCACTATGGTGTCTGCGTGCCGTGGGGTAACGTATGTTACCCCCTAAAACACACTTTGCATGATTAATTTGGACTTAATCAAATTTATGTAGATTGGAAAGCTAGTGTGCAACTTTCATTGTATATGTATCCACATCTATCCATAAATTTAGAAATTTAAAAAAAAGGTACGATAATTTCGCACGCTATTCCTGCGTCCCAATAAGCTGTTTCAATTTGGATTTTCTATTGCGTTATAAATACTTCGCTTATTATTATTATTGTTATTATTCGAGTGGGGCTCTTACTCGTAGTCAGTATTTAATTCCTGTATAATTTTAATCTGTTTTTATATACAATTTGTATTTCACGTTTATTATACCCAATTTTTATATTATTATTTTTTAGTTCTATAACTTTATAGGGGCCCTAGTATTTATTTTGTAGCCTATGTTTTACTTCATTTTTTAATAAAACTAAGTTGCCTATTTCTATTTTAAAATTATTGACTATTTTGTCATACTATGTTTTATGTTGCTGCTTTGCCTTATTTAGTAATAATCTGACACGTTTTTGTGCTATTTGTAGCTTAGATTTTACTTTTAACAAAAAAATGTAGATTAGTGTAAAATAAATATAAATTAAATAAATAATTTCTAAATTTAAAATAAATTTCCTCCATTTGCGCTGTTTTCTTTTTGCATTAGTTTTATGTCTACATACAAAATCATACGATTTGCCAATTCCCATAACGTTTTGTAAAAAGTCGGCAAAATTGAAGTCGCGAAACGAAAATAGGAATAACGCTTTATTGTGTTTTAGACCTTGAGGTTCTTCGTATAATTATTCGCATATAAAAAATTACTATTTAATTTTGTAGTAAATGAATGCGAGATGACAGCCATAATCGTGCCACGATATTTCCTACGGGAGTTCAAATTGAAAATGCAATTTTTAAGAATTCAGTGGTCATTTGATATTTTACTAACGGTTTATAAAAGCGTACGTACATCTTGTCGATAACAGCAACTAAATTTAAGCAGTATGAGGTTTAATGTAATTAGGAAAATTTAATTTTAAACCTTCCTTTGCTTCAAAGAATGTATATGATAATGTTATCGTATCAACATGCTCCAATTTAGGATCTTTAGTGTATTCAGGATCAATGTAAAAAAATACGGGCATATCAACCTAAAAGAAGTAGGTATAAAAAATAAGCTTTAATATATGGCTTTTCTTTTAATAAAGCATTTTTACCTCTTCGTGAGGATTTAGTTGCTGTTCTTCGAAACAAAAACATTGTATCTTATTAAAATAAGCACCAGCCTCGAAGGGAACTACGTTGTACGTGCTTATACCTACTACTGGACGATCTGTGGGATTTTTGGCTGTATAAAAGGCCAAAGCAGTCTCGCCTGGCGCTACTTTTATCTCATATTGTTGTGGCTTGAAGTTCCATCTCATTGAAGCGGCCAAATCAGCGTTAAAACGCACTTTGATAATACGATCTGGTATCTTTTGCATAGTCTCTACTTTGTCGGAATCATGGCCTAAGCTGGTCGTACCTCCGTAGCTGTAAGCCTGCAATAGATATGTTAACATATTCCGTATATGAAATTAGTTTCTAACAAAGGAAATAAACATATGCAGTACCTGACAAAACATCCTATACAATGGCACTGCTGCGTAGCTCAAGCCTACTACTAAAATACCTCCTGCTGTTATGTAGTACAAAGTAGATTTCACGTTTCGATTATGCGTTGTTTCAGAAGCCGTGCCTTTACGTCCTCCCCGTTCTACACTTAATAGTCTTCGTTTGATAGATGGGCACAAATTTAAAAATGCTCCTTTTAGTCTCCAGCAATTTTTTAACATTTTAAAACGAAAAATGCTTAACCTCTTAACAATTAACAAAATTCGTTCAATTGCTCTCTAAAAAGTTTTATAACTTTCCAAAGGGGAAAAAACGTTTGTTTATCGGTTTTTGTCGACAGCTGTTTACTTGGACTTTTTCAAGATTATTAGGCATTGGGTTGTCAGCTGTTTGTTGTTTGGTATATGAGAACGTTTGAACTAAGTAACTTTTGAATCACAAAAATATACTAAAAATTAAAAAAAAGTAATAGTAAATATCAAAAAATTAAAATTTCTTGTAATTTTTTCATAGAAACAGAAGTGATTTGTGGTCGTGGTCAAATCTTTTATTCGTTTCATGACATTAATCGATAAAAAAAAACCTTTTTGTATAAACGTTTCGAATATATTTTGTGTTCAAGCAGGGAATGGAAATAAAAAACTATAGCGGTGACGATATTGACTCTTTGTTTGCTGATGCAAAAAACAAAAAATTGTCTACCTCTTTTAGTATGAAAAGCGGTCGTGCAGCGGATAACTTGGAGGAAATGTTTGGCATAGAAGAGGAGGAGAGTGCACGAAACTTAAAAATACGAGGATCTAGAAGAAGTAATCTTTCTGCGACCATTACTTCCTCTAAAACCTTGAATACACCGAGGATTATAAAACAAGGCCCGTCTCAGAGTGTTGTCGACGATGAGGAAGATGATAATCTAGGTTTTGATCCCAAGAAACCGAAAGCTGGTAACAGAGCTCAAAATCTTTTTGACGATTTGTTGGCACCTTTGGAAAAACGCTCTCAAACAAATGCTGCAATTAGCAGTGGTAGTGGAGGAGGAGTTTTAAAAGCTCCCATATCACGTCAGTCAACTGATACAACCACCGAAAACTCTAACATATATCAAAATTCCGTAACACGACCGAAAACAGCAGGTAGGCGTGGTTCTAGCATGTCTACTGTAATCAATCCAGAACCTTTAGTTTTATTTGCTAAAGACAGGGATAGCAATGCTGCAATTTCCGATCTATCAACGCCGAATTCGCGCAAGAAGATCACCACCAATTGGTTAGGACTACCAATAGAACCGCAAAAGACACCTGATAAAGCAGAAACTACACTTGAAACTTCTAAAGAATTGAAAATTGCTACTGATGCATTTCCTGCACCGGGCGACTTACAGGCAGATCAAAATAACGTAAATAGTGAGGACCAAAGCGCTGCTGAGAAAAGAGTACAAGTTCCATCAACAACCTCTCAACCAACTTCTACACCAGCAGATCAAATGGCACAAAACATAATTTTGCTTAACTCAATGAAGATCGGTGCCAAGCAAAATATTAATAATTTGAAATACCAAGAGCACCACTTAATTTTGGCTAATCAAATTAAACAGCAAGAAAAAGTTTTAATGGAAACTCAGCGCAAACAAGAATGTTTGTTGCAACAGCAAGAAACACAATTTCAAAATTTTTTACAACAACAAATTCAACGTCATCAACAATTGGAGGAGATTATTATGAAACAACAGCAACGTCTTAATAGTCACCTGCAATTGATGATGGCCAATCAAACATCAATAGAACGCCAAGCAATTCCCGATTTAGATTTGGCACACATTTCATCTTCTTCTAATCAATTAACTGATAATGAAATTCAAGAAGTGAGTGGGAGAAATCAGTGTGAAAAAGAAACTCTATTTAATCTCATACAAGTTGAAGCGCAAAATAAGCGTTTAGAATTGGAAAATCTAAGATTAGAGGAGTTGATTGTCAATACGAAAACTAATTACGAAAAGGAAATAGATTTATTGGAGAAATCGAGCAAGTAAGAATATTATTAGATTGATTTAAAAAATAAAAGTAATTTTTCCTATATTATTTTCCTTCCTATTTCATAGAAAACAAATTGAGGTTTTGGAGCACCAAGTCGCTAACATTGATCAACGTTTTAAGGAAGATATAGAAAATGTAAAAAACCATTATCAACAGAAATTGGATGAAATGAAACGGGAACAGCAGTCTCTTCGCAAGCATTACGAAGAAGAAATAACTAATCTTAGGCAGGATCACGAAGATGAGATGAGGAAAGCGCATAGAAATTTTAGTGAGGATATGGAAATAGTAAAAGAGGAATATCGTCGCATATTGGAAACGATAAGAGAAACGAAAATGTTAGAATTTGCGACTATTCAAGAAAACGGTTCCTATTTCGAATGTTTGAAATCGGCATCTAGTAATTTGACAAATTTAACTGGAGGTCTAGAAGAATTACGTGAAGATATGCGCAAGAAAATTGATGTTATCCATCTAGAAAGAGAAAAGAAAATAGATCTACGCGAAAAACGGGTAGAAGATGCTGAGAAGCGTTTAGCAATCATGGAAAAAGGAGCTGAGGAAGAAAAATTAAGATTACTGGATATGGTTAGTGCTATGGAATTGCAAATGGCTAAATTGACGAAGGAAACATCAGAGGAGAATTGGCAATTGCGTCAAAAATTGAGTAGTTTGGATGCAGAGAAAGCTTTATTAGCCAAGGAAAAAGAATATTTTCGGGATCAGATGGTTAGAGATGAAGAACGTCTTAAAGATTTGAAAGAGCACCAGTTATGTGAGTTACAAAAATGTCAGATTGAGCTGCAAGAGGAACGTGCTCGACTAAAAACGGAACGTGTGAAATTTGAAACGGACAAACGTCTACAGTCTTGCACTGACATAGATAAGGATCGCATGGAGGTGGAGGCTGCCATGCAAGTGGCTCAAGATGCAGCCCGTAAGGCAGACGTGGAAAGAGAACGCTATTATAAAATGCAAAGACAATTGGAACAACAAAAACGCGATCTAGCTGACAAAGAGCATTCACTAAATGTAAAAGAAGAGGAATTGCAACAAGAATTATTGTCATATCGCATGAGTGAACGCCTATCGCAAGAGTCGCTACAAAAGTCGAAATTAGCTGAACAGTATTATCACAATAAGATTCAGATGCTGCAGCAGAAATCACATGAAATGGCTGAAAAAGAAGCTCACCTCTCGCAGGAGCGTCTACTTTTATCGCAAGATCGCATAGCCCTGCATGCTCTCAAAAATAAACTAAATCGACAGACCAAATGCTCTTTATGCCAAATTAATCATAAGACAAATGACGATATTAGCGAGACTTTAAATAAGAACTCAGTTAAGGAGAATAGATCGCTGATTGAGAGCACAAATAATACAGCTTTTACATTGCTTTTGGGGGCTCAGAATGATGATTTGGTCGAGCATTTATTGGATGTTAACATTGCCGAATCATTACGTAAACTGAATTCATCGACGAGTTTGGGTGGTTGGGAAGCTCTGCTCGACGATGATCACAAAAAGTTAGTACAAAATCAGCAGATCGATAAAGAAAGCACAAGTGATGATGTTAAATAATTATCTATTGGACATATTTGAGTCGTAATTGGAAAACGTTCGCAGAAAGATAAAAATTGTATTTAAATGAAATATAGTCGAGAAATAACTCACGGTACAAACGACATATCCAATCTTGTCTCGTCTCGATCCTGAATTTGAATTGAGTTAGTCCCACGACATTATTGGGGGCTCAAATTACTTCAAATTACAAATACTTATCATTTTGTATTCGTAGATTGTAAGAGCAATTGTTAGCACAAAAGATCTAAATATTCAGTATTATAATAAAATTAAAAAACAAAGGTTTTTTTTTATAACTTCAAAATGAAAAACTGCAAGAATTAGTTATCAATGTGTAATTATTGCCGTTAATCTCAACGAAGCGCATTTTCTTTCTGGAGAATGACAAGGAAAACCTTTGAAAAAAGCCATGGATAACCTTAAGTTTAAGGTGAGCGAAGAATTAAAATATCGTCAATATGCCACGTAATACGTCTGTATCTCTAACGCCGATGCCCAAAGCGTGGAGTTACTAACTTAGACGCGTCGTTCTCAGAAACCAATTATCAATAAATCTGAAATTTTATATAGTTTTACGGGAAAAATCTGAATGCAGACTGTGTGAAACTGTGTGAAACAACAAACTATCCTATCAAATATCCTGATCTAAAAATGATAAACGTGTTATTGTGAGATCGTAACGCGAGAATAAAAAATATATGCTTAACTACTTTTTTTCGTTCTGTGATAAAGTAAATATTAAGTTTGTGCGGATATATACAATACTCAGAAGGACTCGAGATTCGGCCCAACTTTTATTATATCGGTCGATTTATAATTATTTTCCGAACACATTTAAGCTTGGTTGTCCGCCTGAGCAGCATTCATATGTTCTTGTTTTCAACCTACAGGCCACAATTTTCAGGATATTTTGATGAAATTTAGTACGTTGATGTGTGTTTGGTCCAAGGACGAATGATATTGAAAAGGTTTAGGATCGGACCATTCGCCTTATCATTGAAAAAAAAAATTATGCAGTTTTTAGAGGTTTCGACGAAAGTCGCTTAGTAATAATATTTCGGCATTATAAATTGGTATGAAAACTTTGGATCGCATGGTCTAAGTATTTGAACAGGTTGTCATAGAACCGTTCCCACGCAAACTCAATCTTTATACTAATTTTCAATATTTGTTCAAAATTCGTTTGTAATAATACGTTGACATCAATATTAAGTTTACCGAGTTTGGACTACGTAGGTCTATGTTTTTGATCTGAGCCCATATAAAGGGTTTTAATCAAGAATAAGACTTTATATGTCAAAAAGTTTCATTTTCAATATTTTATGATGAAAACTGGTCCTTAGTGAATTCGCACGATATATAGGGGCCCTCATAATAGCCGTACCCGTCTATGGCGACAAAGCCTAATTTGTGGTTTGCTATGACAGGAGCAACTGGAAAATGATAAAATATTCGACAACTAAATTCAGTTTGCTAAATTTAAACAACATTGACATTTGAGTATTCCGAGTATGAGGGCTTTCATGAAAATTATGCATTTACACTATCGCTTGCAAATTTGCAAAAGAATGTGGAAATGATCCCAAATTTTTTACAGGACATGCCTGCAGCGCTGTAGGATAAATGGTTTTATTTTGAAAATTAAAAAAATCAGCCCTGCCCACTCTATATTTTAGAGAATGGAAATGTAGTTCTTTTATATTATTTTTGCATTTTTGTAGGATAACGATGATGGTTATAAAAGATTCGGACACGACGAATATAATTTTCGTACTTGTTTTTTTTTTTTTTTTTTTTTTTTTTTTTTTAATATGGAATTCTTTTCTTCAGATCCGCCATATACTACTCGCCAATTCCGTTTTATTTGAAAACCATATCAACTAACGAAATGTAACGAACAAACTAATCCGCTACGCGTCGTGACGCCCATCAGAAATAATACGCTTACCTTGTTGGCTTTTACTCTTCGAATTCAGTTTAGTTGATATCCATATCGCCGGCATAATTAAGAAATGATTAATCCATCAGATCGTGGTGTCCTTCATATGTATTTTAGAATGAACGCATCTTTAGACCGATAATATATTGTTGCAGATATGTTATGAGTTTTGATGAAAAGAAATCGCATTCAACAGAAAAGCAAAACCAAGTAAACATTCATGGCGCGTCACCTGCGTCTGGATTAAAAACAATTAGTAATAAATTGAAAATGTTGCGATAAATTAAATAAGAATTGATAACTTGTTTGCACATGGGGCATATATTAGAAGAATATTTGCGGACATTGAAAGCTAGAGTCGAGAGAGTCGAGTCATGAGTTGTAAATAAATTCCATACTATCCTAAAAATCACAATACGAACGAATACGAGCTCAAAGGAATTGATTTTGGAGTTTACGTTACAATGTTATTGTGTATATGTGTACATGTGTATGAGAGAATGTATTCAAAAAAATTATATTATATATGTTAGATAAGTAGCGACGGATACGAGAAGAATGTAAAGGTAAGTGTAAGCGTTTTCAGTTTTCTTTGAATGAAAGTAAATATAATAATAGTTATTTGACTCCTGCTTGGTAGTTCTATTGTTTATATGCATAACAATATAAATTGGATAACAGTAAAAGCCGAAATATTGTTGTAGCTTTGTTTGCGTAGCTATCGTAATCATATTTGCTAAGAAATGAATTTTTTGTTTTTTTTTTGTTTTTCTTTGTTACAAAAATTTTCACTTAAAAAACCTGACTGAATTGACTAAAAACAAGTGCAAAGCAACATGAATTTTTAATTAAATATTTAGTTATTTACATAGGCGTAGATATTTATATGCATATACCTTAATTTTTCAGATAACTCTTAAAAGCTCTTTGTCGGCGTTTGGAGTTTAATCAAAAACAACAAAAAAAAAGACATTCTGTTCTAATTACCTTATAAGATAATTTCAAGAAAAATACGTCAGCCTTACACAATAAGTAAGCAAATAAGTGCTTTACAACGCTAATCAACTTTTGTAGATTAATTAAAGCGAATAAAATTTGTTGCATGCCACTATTCTAGCGATTCGAGTGAAAGTATTCCAAATTTGTTTACGTTGATTGATTAAATTAATGAAAATCTGAATATTTTCCAGTATCAAATGGAGTTTTTCGTGATGAAAATTATCTAACAATTAATTTGAATATTTCATTATAATATAATTAATAAGCAAATATTTTCAGATAATTTTCATAAAATATTTGACTTAAGACTTTATATCCAATGCATACTATATTTGTCCTTGAAAAATGCAAACATTCGGCATCGGAGGCCTTATAAAGTAAAATTTTTGAATTTACTTAGCCTCGTCCGTTTCATTATCTATCTGTCATTGGAGTTTTCGTAAATGCAACAAATTGAATATAAAATTCAAGCGTCACTTACATATCACAACCGGCCACATTTGAACTACATATATATAAAATCGTTCAACTTAGATCAAATGATAGATATTCATGTAGAGCCTGAAATATATACTTGGCAAGATCGTATGAAAAAGCTTCAAGATGGACGTGTTGAATCTTCAAATACTAACGACTATAAGGAAAAAGGCTGCATTTGGCAACCAGTTTACAGTTTAGAGATATTGCATTAAAACGCGTCCGAAATATTTCTTATGGCCATTGATTAGTGTAAAAAAAATTTTTTTTAATCAATCAAAGCTTATCTAAGCTGATGATTTTAATAATCCTTGTTCAAATTGTTGGACCAAGACGGATAGATACGTGAAGCGAGTATAAGTCCCGTTTTTAAAATCTCCTTCATGTCTGTTTTTATTCCTAACAGATTTTCGGGACCCCCTCGTATCGCATGGAATTTCCAAAAAGTCGATGCGAATAACATTCTTTTTTTTTTGCAAGTCAGCTAATACACGTTTATTCAAGATAAAACAGGACAGTTTTTCGATACCAATACAAATATGTAGAAAGTTATTATTATTATTATTATTATTATAAATTTAGCCAGACAATAAGTCCTAAGACTAAAGTCTTAAAGCACTAGCATCTAAGGCTTTCGGCTTTATTAAAAACTCTACCGCACTTGAGCTTTGAACCCATTACCATTGAGTTGCTAGTCGAGACTCTTGCCTACTCGATCACTCAGGCGGATTGTAACCGATCCCTAAAGCCGAGTATTCGAGCAAATGCAGTTTTTATATATAGACTTATACGATTGATCGGAAGTATATTCATATATATATATATATATGCGGTATATCAAATTCAGAGTTGATCTTAAAGATTGAGATATCGTTTTCAAAATTGGTAGAAATCTTGAAAGATATTTCACATAGGTTGAGACAAATCGGTCAAAGGATGCGGCGACAGAACAAAATAAAATGAGAAAACATTTATTTTTGAAAAAAAAATTTTTTTTCTTTTTGCATATGAATCGTTATTTAAAGATAAAAATTTCCGCGCCTATCTTATTGTGGACTTCATCCACTTACCGTATCATAAGGTATAAAACTTTTCTCTATTTGTTTTTTGTTTTGTTTTTTTTTTTTGTAAGATAAAGGCGAGGGACATAAAAGATTCGAATTGAATTTTTTAATCGTTTTAGAAATCGATCACAACTCAAAGTTTGAACGTCTACATGCTAGCGCTTAAATCTTTTTTTTTTTCGTTTTTCCTTATTTTGTGAAAAATTGCGGTCAATGTTGAAAAGTAATGCCATTCGTATTCAAAAAGACCAATTTGAAAATTTACCTAACCTTGGTGTTGAATTTTTGCAATTAATAAACATTTCTTAGTATTATTAATCGCTTAGTTGGCAGTATTCGCATCGCTTCACTTGCGAGATCAGCAAAAAGCAAAAAAAAAAAACAAAACCTTTTGCATTCATTTTATGAAAATGATGATGATGTATCTTATAAATATGAAAGTCAATTCATAAAAATTCTACAGTTAATGTTAAATATAATTTAGTGATTACATGCAGGCAAAGTATTTCATTCTTAAGATGTTTTCGCTTTATGAAAATTTATTAATAATTTTAGGTAAAGTTTTCGAATGAAAAAAATAAATAAATAAAAGTCCGGTATTTTTAATGGAGTTATCTATTATTCTCGTTCCAACAGTTTCAAGCTATGTTTGGCTTCAAGCAAACTGTAATCCATTGCCTCAGAAGGAAATTGAAAACAACAACATTGATGTTGTTCAAGGTTGGGATTATAATACTCTTGCCGGGCATTTTAAGGATTTCTTTATGTATTTACCGATCATGTTTACATCACTTAAGGAGACAATGAACGGATTTCCAAAGATGGCTGAAGGTATTAAAATATTAACGAGTCAAGCTGAACAATTGCCATCTAATAGCGACATCTTTGACGACAATGAATGCAAATGTAACTCGCACGTAACCCAACAAAATGCTAATAACATCGAGAAGGATAATCTTTACAACTAAGAGAGACAATACAAAAAAAAAAAAATGCCCGTTCATTAAAATCCATTATGATTCCACTAATTTTGTTTTACGTGTCACATGCAAATTGTTAAGGATCGAAAAGAGAAAAGAAAATGAAAACAATAAACAAACAAAATAATTACCTCACATGGCCGCTAGTTGATTAAAGACCGCATTACTTACTTATGGTTTGATTTATCTCATTGAACGCATTGATAGTTAGCTATAAATAAATGTATGAGTGTAAGTAACTAAGCTTTCATGTCGAAAATTTGCAAATTAAGTTTTTATCAACTGATCTCTCTATGTGCTTTGAATAAAAACGAAATTCAAGAGCAAATGATTTTTTCGATGTCAGGTAAAGTTGAAGGAGATGGCAGGATATATTGGTCCTTTTTTATGGCTCAAAGTTTCTTTGTAATCTTTCGAGGACACAAGGACTAGCATGAATGCATACACATAGATGCCTGTTAGTTTGTTTGCTCTCTTCCTTCTCGCTTATCCCGGCTATATTGATCTTTTTCATCGTTTTCATTTCGTTTTTCTCTTTGCTTTGCTTTGGCTTGTGCTGCTTGCATCCATAGATTGTGTTTATAAGTTAAGCCTTTACATATATAAATATTTCCGCATGAATTTAATTGAGTTAGTTAGTAATTATTTGCTCTCTTGTGCTAAGTTTGTGCGGATGTATGCAACACATTTTGAATTAATTTTAAGTTTATATGTCCGCCTCTATGTAATTTTTGAGAAGAGAATGCGCTTGAAATTCGGTTGTATTAGAAGATTTTATCGGCCGCATTCCCTCCCTCATATGATGCCTTATTTTAAAATGTAGGGTGACGTGGGGTATTGAATGGTGGACCTTGCATCATCATAGTGTGTTTGCTTGTTTTTAAATTATATTTTGCAAAATATTATCGTAGATGCAAGAAGAAGAAGAACGAGAAGAAGAAGAAGAAGAAAAATGAATCGTAGCAGACATTTGTATGTGCGTGCTGTAGATTTTTCTTATTTGATAATATAAGCCCGGGAATGCGAAAATGCAGAAAGCAAATGAATCGTTAATTAAATCTGAAGAATGTATTTTTATTTTGTCTTCATTTTCGTATGTGTGCGTTCACTTAACATATAGATATGGAGAACGTAGGATACGGAATACTTACCAATAGTGCAATAGCGCACATAGAGTATATCGGCTTTGTCGTCTCATGATCATCAGTTCGTATGCAAATAATCAATCAATCCCTTTCAAATTGCTTTGATTTGAAATATCGAAAGCAAAGTTTTCGAATTAATTTCTTTTTTAAAGCTTTTTTTTAATATTTCATAGATTTTTATCTATACTGTATATAGCGCAGGGCACAAGATTAGCAAGAACTTTAGATCTTTTTGATCGATCCTGATTAATCCGAATTCAGTTTAATTTTTTTTTCTTTTTTTTTGCTTTTTCGCTTGTCCTATAAGAGATGGTCAACGAAGATATTTATTGATTGTCCAATTTTGGCAATTGTCCAGGACAAGGATTTTTTGATCAAAATTGTAAGGGACCCATGGCCATAAAAAATTTAATATTATTAATAGTTCGGTACGAGACTTTTCGAACGAAGAGAATGAAAGGTGTAAAAATCGAAAACTGAGCTATCAAGATATAGCAGTCCTCGATCAATAAGATCAATGAATAATGACAAAATACATGACCACTGTTGAATATAAGAGGTAATCCGAAAATTGGAATCATGAACATTGTAATAGCTTGCATTGTCCGTCTACCCTGAATGCATCGGTTGCATAGGCAAAGATTCGATCACGAAGCCGATCCTACTTATCTAAACTGTCGCGGCGGCGAGAGGAAACATTAAAACACGTTTCTCGGGAATGTCCACGAATCGATTGCGAGAGAAACTTACAAATGCGGTCAGTTTGTTAAGAGGCCTGTGAAGACGAGTTGAGTTAAGGCTCCGACGATCCTTCCGACGTCTGGAATGATTCTCGTCAGTCAGACGTGTAAGGGGGGAGGGGGGGGGGGGGGAAGTTATGCGGTATGCCGTGAGGCGGATAAACCATTGTTGACTAAAGAAAAAAAAAAAAAGATTTTTTTTTTAATATTTATTTGAAATTTATTCATTTTATTGGGTGTGTGGAATCGTGTTGTGTTACAAATGTTGTCTGTTTGGTTGTTTCTTGTTGTTGTTGTTATTGTAAATCTTGTAATAAAATTTATTTGATTTTCTCGGTTATTTTATTATTTGTTGTTGTTTTTTGTTTTTCAATTATTTTGCCTTAAACGGAAATAATATAGATTTTTATTAATTTTTCTTCTTCTTTTTTATGAAATCATTCTTCGGCATAATATTGAATTTACTTCACTTCAATTTATTATTCATTCTCAACATATTTATTGTTTTGCATTGCTGATGATTTTGTTTCTCTCGAGTGCTCGAGTTGTTTTGCTTTGCTTTGCTGTTTATGTTCTTTTTTTTTTGTTTGTTTGTGAGGGTTTTTTGTTTTTTAATATGAATTATAATATAAAATGTCATTCTTATGTATTTTTTTTTTTGTTTATATATATATATATATATATATATATATATATATATAAATATTTTTGTTTTGTTATTTTCATTGTGGACTTTTGTTGCGTTTCTTTTCCTTTTTTCCTTTTAATTATATTTATTACGAATTAAAATCCTTTACACATTTACAAATATTTTATAAATAAACTTTTCTTTTTAAGTGTTAAATTTTAATACTTATAAAATTGTTTTGATTTTTATAACTTTTTTTTTTTTTTTTTTTGTAAAATATATATAAGTATATATATAATTATATATATATACTTGTTAATGTATTAATTTCTGAAATTAGTTTAAATATAAAATAATTCACAAAATACAATTCACAACTACATACGTAATAATCCTTCGCATCGTCTCGTCTCGTCTCGTTTCCTGTCCTCGATTGTTTCATATTACTTTTAATCCTATTGATAAACATTTCAACTCTTCTTGATCGGTTTTTTTTTTCTAAATATTCATAACAGACACACATACATACATACAAACATAGTACACACAATATACGTATATTTATTCTATTTATACAAAAAGTTGTGATATTCATACTCTTTTTATTTTATTTATTTACCTTTTTGTAAAAGTTTTTTAACACTTTGTTTTACATTTATAAAAACAAAGAGCAGTAATTAAAATAAAACTACATTTAAAAATATCGTATACGTTTTGTTTTCTTTTTTTTTCTTTAAAAATGATTTTGTTTATAAAAGATAACTAAAACTTGGCATAGCTCAGAAAAGGCCAAATATTTTTGTATTAGGAAGGGGATGCCTAAGGTTTTCTAAGCACTATTACGCCAACCTCAAGATCTCCTTGCATTGATCTCAAATGGCCGAACGTTGTTAGAGTTTTTGTATTTTTTTTTTTTTTTTACTTTAACATGAACGATACGCCTCCCTAAGTTAAATAGAACAGTTCATAGCAAGGACTTTTAAGATATATAGATAATTCAATTTCGAATTGATCATAGCTATGTCTATAAATCACTTATTATGCCTTTAGTGAGAGATAATGTAAATAAGAATCCATCCGATGTCCATCAACTCAAGTAAAGCAGAAAAGTGCAAAAAGTCGGAAAAAGTGAAATATGTGCACTATTTCTGGGCGGTAATAATACTTGTTCTCAATTTTAGAGTCTCTCTCTCTCTCTCTCTCTCTCTACCTATCTTTATCTCGCTCTAATAAATGTTAGATAAAGTAGGAGGTGATAAGAAGAAAGCAAAAAGGTGGAATGGTTGGAGAGGGGGGCGAGAGAGAAAGAGAAAGAGAAAGAGAGAGAGAGAGAGAGAGAGAGAGAGAGAGAGAGAGAGAGAGAGAAAGAGTCATGTTTTCGTATATTTGATTTAAAAACATGTATGAACATTATAGGCCGACCCTACACCACATTGTGTAACATAATTCTTATTTTTGTATAAAATTATAATATTATGGGTCAATTTTCATCACCACTTATTAAAGCATGGACTATTCTGCTCTGCAAAGAATCAATTTTCGTGGAAATCCTTTTAGCAGGTAGGGTAGGTTGCAAAAAATAGGTCGGGATTTTCCAAATTTGGTACAGTTAATTTTTCTCATGTTAAGTCCCTATTATGATATAATTTTCATCATGAAGCCTTTTTGTCGTATGAAGTTCACTTTTCGCTAAATGGGAGGGAATTTAAAAATTGCCCGCGTCGATGCAAAATTTTCATACCGATTTAGAATGTCGAAATTTTACTTGGCCACTTTTGTCGAGAAATTTTGAAAATTACAATTTTTTCCCATACAACGAGCGTGTTGAAAAAGTGGATCGATCCGAATCATTTTCAACGGCGTTCGTTCTTGGGTTAAAACGCGACACTCTATCAAATTTCATTAAAATATTTCAAAATATTGGAACCCGTAGTTTGAACATAACTTTACATGGACGGACATCGGACGGAGAGAGGAACAGACAGGCTTAGATCAATTCAGATTATGATTCTCGTGGGTCTATCTTAAGCCCTTCTGCGTGCTATATACGTCTGCACTAACCTGCATCATAAACGGTGTCGGCTGTAATGACAACTGGAATAGTGAATTTCTCTTGAGCGTAACAATTATGTTTGCAGAGAAATGCTGAATTCATTGTATCTTCATATTTCAATTCAGAACTCGGCGCTATTTTTTAATATTTCAGCCATTAGTTATAATAGAAAAAAAGTAAAAATGCCTAAGATGCAGTGAGAAATTTTAAATATGATCATCTTATCTAAAACTAAATAGTGGATAAAATTAATTGCATATTTTCTTTCTGAGAGTTAAAGTTGCCTTCAATATTCTTGTTAGTCTTTCTCAAGCAAGGAGAGAGATTGAATATCAATTACAAACAAGGCATTTCAAAGAGTTAACTATCTTCTAAGGGAATATATATTTTTTGTCTTTGAATTATACATATTTGGTAGACGCACAAACAATTAAGTTGCGTATGCTTGGATTTACTCAAACTGGACGTAGTAGAGATGATCAAATGTGTCAAGCCTTGTAATTAAGAACATTTAGTCAAAGTTGTTTGTATTTGTTTTTTTGTTGTTGTTCTATCGTTTTCTCTGTACAAAATTTCACGTTAACCACTAGACATGCGCATACAGTCACGCATGCGTATCTATTGTATATAAAATATTAGAAATTGTAAACTTAATGGATATCTCTTTTAAAATCTACATTTTTTTTTTTTTTTTTTTGTGTTTTTCGTTTGCTACTTCTTTACAAATAATTAATGACTGAATATATGAAAGATTTCATCTAAGCCGTGCCTAATATGGTTCTTATTTTCATTAAATTTTGGGCTTAAGGCCAATAATTTAATAATGCATTGAAAAAAGGAAAAATAAATCAAAAATGATCAAAAAAAAACTACTACTCGCTTCCGATTACTCTAGAAACGTTAATTAATTTTTAACGATTATTCTACAAAAAAAATGTAATAACTTTGGGCCTAAGTTTGTATAATTTTAAATTTTATTATTAGTTGCATTTTCTTGGTTTTCATTTAAATATTGTTACATTTTGAAAATTATTTTGTCTCTTCTTTTACGTATATTCGTTACAATCTTATTATTATTATTATTATTTTTTTTATTCTTACTTTATTACGTTAATCCTAAGGTACACTGAGAAGAATTATTAATATAGATTAAGTTTTGTCGTACGATATACGGCTTGGAGAGAGAGAAAGAGAGAGAGAGAGAGAGAGAGAGAAAGAGAGAGAGAGAGAGAGAAAGAGAGAGAAAGAGAAAAAGAAAGAAAGAAAGAAAGAAAGAAAGAAAGAAAGAAAGAGAGAGAGAGAGAGAGAGAGAGAGAGAGAGAGAGAGAGAGAGAGAGAGGGAGAGGGAGAGAGAGAGAGAGAGAGAGAGAGAGAGAGAGAGAAAATAGAAAGAGACCTCACTACTCTAAGAGGTTAGGTCCGATTCAATTTTTAAAGTCTATGATTTACGCTGTGGAGGAATTAATTTTTTCTTATAGTGGGGCAGAATTATGCTGTTTCGATTATATTTTCAGAATAATTTTACTAAAATTCCTTTTTTCATTTCCTAAATTATATTAAGTTTTAAAATTTTTTAATTAAATTAAACACAAACAAATAAACCATGCATGATATTTAAAAAAAGCGGCTGATAACAGTTTTCGATTTCCTTCCTATATATTAGTCATCTAATATTTCCGCACTAAAAAGTTTTTATTCTCAAATTGTCTTCCCACACAAATACATTTTTATATATGGATTTTGAAAAATTATCAAATTTTTACAAAACATAAACAATAAAAAATAAAATATACTTACTTTAAACTAAATCAAAAATAATGAAGATAAGAAAAGGGTTTGTATTCGGCTCGGGCCGAACATATTAATATTTACCATTATTTCTTCTTGGACATTTGATCCCAGAACCGAACAAAGTTTAACTCATTCGATCGTATTTATAAAAATTTCTTACACAATTTGCCAACACTTGACGTGTATGTATGCTCGTGGTTATGTGACATAATTTCGAACGACCGTTACGTTAATGATACAAATATTAAATTGATAGAAGAATCTCATGGGTAAGGCAATTTTCCTTTCCAGGTTTCCAAATAATTATTCTGCGAACCTATTGTACCGTCTGTCCTATGGCGAGCAAGTATAAAAGTTAGAGGGGAAGTTTTGGTTTAGCCACAAATTTTAAGTCAACACAGGGACTATTAAAGTCACATTGTGTAATCTTTGAAATTGTCTTTAGAATGTATTTATACTTATCTATCCGTCTGTCCGTGTTATTCTCTTGAACGCTATTGAAAATAGTTGAAATCGGTTCACTTTTTCAACTACTTCCCATACTACTGCCTCAGTTGTATAAATATATGCAGGATGATAGCGCACGATATTTAATAATGGTTTGAGTAAATGAACTAAATATGAGTAAATTAATTTTTTCGTTTTTTTCTTTCATCGAAATTCATATGAAACTGCATAAGGTTTGTGAATATTCGAATTATCATACATTTAAGGTGAAGCATATGCTAATGTTTATGTTAATAGATTTTTAAGGTAAGTATCAGCAATTTGGCGATTTAGCGATTTATTGACTTATGATTTTAAATAAGGAATACGTGCGATTAAATTGAAAAACTCGCATTCTACGCGCCTCCTCATGCGATGCGATATCCTTTCAATGTATGTATAAAACATAGCAAAATACTTTGTTTATTGCTACGGGCTGGACTGTTCATTATTTTTACAATATTTTAAATGATCAGCTGTTATAACGAAAATTCCTATCGTTTTTCACGTATCGGAATCTTATGAATGGTTTATCATTTATAGTGGGATATGTAACAATAGTCAGTTTGTACCGCACAGCTGGACGAAAGGATAGGTACATAATTATAAATTATCTGAAAAGTTTACGTTCATAAAGCATATATGGACTATCCAGGTGCTATGATCGGAATCATGAAGTGGTAAACTAAAGTGAAAGTAATAATAATGAAATAAAATTGTAGTAAAACAAATGCAAATGAAAAACTAAAAATTAACACTTTAATATTTATTATTTAATATATAAGTATATATATACATATATATATATATATATATATATATATATATATATATATAGATATGTATGTATATATATGTATATATATATTATAATTTATTGCAATTTTTTAAAGGAATATTATTATAATAAATTGTTTTTTTTTTTTCTTATACATTGACGTTTAAAGGATGTTTTTTTATAATTAAATTATAAATAGTAGGTGTACTCCAAAATAATTTTTTTTTGTTGTTTTTTTTTTTTAAATATATATATGTTATTAAAAAAAGAAAAGAAAAAATATAATTCTACACAAGCATATATAAGTATGTATAGAAGGATTAGGGTTCTTCCAATAAATGATTAGTTTGGACGCTACGTTTGAATATATAAAAAAATTAATTTTCTTTATTTATATTTAAAATTAAATGCTTTTCGTCGTCATGTCAACCGATATCTTTGTTCTGTTAAATGCATTAATTTATTTATGTATATATACACAGGGAACAGTTTTATTGAAAACGTTACTATAGCTATTTTTCATATATATATACTTTTGTATATATATGTATACATACACACATACATATATACATATATATATATGTATGTAACATTCTTCTATATATTTTATGTACGTATATATATATATACATACATATACATTTTGTTTTTATATTATTATCGTTTTCTTAATCCTACGGTCGTAAAAAATGAAGAAAATTTATCATTTTCTTCTTATTTATATTTATTTTTCCACTTAAAAGCTATTTATGATTTATATTACAGGTGTTGAATTTCCTCCTTTTTTTTGTTTTTGTTAATTTTTGTTTTTTTTTAATTTTTTTTTTTATTTTTTTTTTTTTTTATTATTATTCTTATATATATTCGATTTATTTGATATACTTTTTGTTTATCTCTTGCTTTATACATTATGGCTTGGCTTTTGGCAGTGTGGCAAAATGTAATTTTAATTCCTTTCTGAAAACATCTTCACTGTACTACTCTTTGTTAAAGGAAATTCGTTTCATTCTTTTCCATTTATTTGTTATTGCGCAAAGATCATCAGTCTGTCTAGTTGACAAAATTTTAGTAAAATGATAATAATATGAAGGAGATATTAAATCATAAAATTACAAAAGAATTTCCTACGAAATATAGGTATAAGGTAGTATGTAAGTATGTATGATGCTTGCTTATTTTCAATAAGCGTTTTTCAAAAATTAAAAATACTTTATAGTTTTTTTTTTTTTTTTGTTTTTTTGCTTTGTTGTTTTTATTTAAAGTGTATAAGTATTGTGCTTTCTGTGGTTGTTACGTAGTTCGCTTAGAAATGTGTGGACTAGATTTATATAATTATGTATTAATTACAAATAGATGTGTTTCACTATAGTATAAGCTTAATTTTATGTTTTTATTCTTATGTTTTTCTTCTTCTTTTTCTTTTATACATATTATATATAAATTTTAAAATGTAAACTATAAATTAATATGGCGTCTTATTTTTGGGTTAAAAAGAGAGAAAGAAAGAAAGAAAGAAAGAAAGAGAAACAGAAAGAGAGAGAGAGAGAGAGAGGGAGAGAGAGAGAGAGAGAGAGAGAGAGAGAGAGAGAGAGAGAGAGAGCACGGTGATAGATGAAATTTTGGGGAAGATGGGCAAGTTTGGGAAGTGTAAATTGAAAGTAAATTTCTTCATAGTATTTTGGAGAAATTCTCGAGATGATGGCAACAACATGAGTCAGTTCCTTTCACTCTCTTATGCGAACGGCAAAGTTTTTTTTATATGAAAGAAACACTACTACTTTAACTACTTATATCGCTTCACTTTTGCACACTTTACAGCTGACTAAAACTACTTGTAGATACCCAATGATTTGTGTCCGGTCGTACCATTAACTATATAGGACCATAATCACTTAATGCCTGACCCGGGTGCTGGACGCCTGGGCCGCCAGGTAATGATACTACTACCGAAACGGGAGCTGTACTATTGCTGCCAGCATTGCCAGCGCCGCTGCCGTTGCCATATACATTACTGCCAGGTGTATTAACGCTGGCATTACCACCGCCGCCACCAGAACTATGCATTAAGCTACCAGGTGGAGCCCCAACACTATTGCCCGCTGTGCTCATGAGAGTACCAGGACCGCCTAGCACACTGCCACCACCCATTGTTGAAGCTCCGCCTGACTCTCCATGTCATACGTGACTGGCAGCCGGTTGCTTGAGAACATGATGATGCAAGTGGTGGTGACTAGTGGAAGCCACTGAAGCACCGCCAGCTTGCGTATAAGGGGTGGCGAGCAGTGAGCCGGCAGCCGAACCTACCGGCATACCCATCCCCGAACCGGCGTAAGGATGTGGTATGGGTGGACGTTGCTTAATAAGCGCTTGGTTGGCACCTGTACGATCGGGCTGGCCAAACAGACGCCGCCAGAAACGGCGCCAACTTTCCAATGTCTTTCCAGACCATATCCAAACGCCGGATGTTATTCCAACGGCCAAAGCCATAAAATATTTTAACATTAAGACCCAGTATAAAGGTTTCTTACCAGGACCTTTAATTTGGGCACAAGGACAAGCTAGTGCTCTAATCCAATCTTCAAAATATGCGGCCTCATATAAATAGCAACCAATAACGATAACGGCTGGGACGGTATAAAGCACGGAAAATATGCCAATACGTATCATAAGTTTTTCAAGTTTATCAGCTTTGACGCCGGCTCCTACTCCTCCCTGTTGCTTGATAACTGAACGTATGCGAAACAGGGAAACGAAACCGGCCATCAAAAATGTGGTACCTATGACTAGGTACACGAATAATGGAGCTAATACAAAAGTTTTTAAGTGGTCCGGATTCAAATTGCCCACATAGCAGATGCCTAGAATTGGGTCACCATCCACTGCTGACAATAGAAGTACTGCTACCGATTGCACTGTGGGTATTAACCAGGCGGCTAAATGAAAGTATTGCGAATGTTTGGTTATGGCTTCGTTACCCCATTTTAAGCCAGCTGCTAAAAACCAGGTAAAACTTAGAATAACCCACCATATAGATGAGGCCATGCCGAAGAAATATGTCATCAGGAATACTAAGGTGCACGAGTGTGGTCCCGTTGAACTTTCCTTAAGTAGACGGCCGTCGCAGGCTATTTCCTCATTTTGAAGAAAATTCTTAGATAGATAACCTACGGCGACCATAAAGTAGCAGGCCGACAAAAAAACAATAGGCCGTTCGGGATATTTAAACCTTTCGGTGTCGATGATGAACGTGGTTAGAGTCATGAGAGTGCTGCAAAAGCATAGGCCCGACCAGAGGGTTATCCAAATGCCGGCGAACTCCTTTTCGTCGTTTGTGAAGAATGGTCCCTTGCAAGGTATGGCGCAATTTTGCACGCCGGCGATTCTTGCCACAGTCGAGTTCTGATACCAAGGATAGTGCATGGGTGGCTGTTGCATCAGAGCTTCCTTCCCCAGGAGTATAAGCGGTGGGCGGCATGTGCAAGTGCATTCCTTTGCGTTTGTTTTTTCTCCTAGGGAGCTTTGGCAGTTTTTTGAATTCTTTCCTTTGCATTTTTGTGACCCCGATGAACCTGAACCAGTCTGTTTGCGTTTGCCGCCGCCGGTTGACGAAGTACTTCCTACTGAATCACCACGTCCGGAACCCGAACCGCCTGTCGAAGATGAGCCCGAACTGCCGGTGCTGTCAGTATAAGAAGGCTGTTCCATGCACAGATTTTCAGGGTCACCATGGAAAGGTAAATGCTCGCAAGCCATACGTTCAGGCCATTCAAAACTGTATTGTTGCATTATAGGCGCACAGCCAGCGCGTGCTCTTTCGCACACGGATCGGCACACAGGTAATGGCTTGTGATAATCTTCCAAGCAAATGGGTGTATACATCGAGCATAAAAAGAATTTCAAGTCGGGTGAACATTTAATCTCCACCAATGGCCAAAACTGATGAACTTCTAAGCCAGCCTCATCTTGTGTCTCATGATTCATTTCGTTGGGAAAAGAAGTCATATTATAGCCAATGCCTCGGCACATGGGGATAGTAATTTCTTCACATCGTGAATTTGGATCTTTCGGTATGGCAGGCAATCCATAACCAGGCGCTGGACTTACTTCCATTGAATGAGAACCAAGGCCCATATTGCCACCCAAGCCAACTGCACCACCATTATCGGTCATATGCTGTAAGCCGTCCGCCCGACTGCTGTGCGTGAAAATCAAAACCAATAGAGCGATTACACAAAACACTGTACGCGCCCTGGTGAGAGAATGTAAACGTTGATAGAGCGACATTGCGTATATGGTATTATGTATTTTAGCCAAAAATAGTGTTTATGTTCGTAGCGCAGAGATTAATAAAGTCACAAGGCGCGCAGATCTACAGACTCCAATTTTTTCCTGCTGATATTGTTTTTTCCTTTTTTGAGAAATAACAAGAACATTAAAATTTTCTTGAAAAACCTCGGTGAAGGTTAGGCCTTAAGTCTTGCCAGAAATGAGCGTCAAATTTCGAGATGTTCAGTTTTGCAGGATGACTGTAAAGAAAAAAACCGAATAAATTTTATTTTAATGATTTGTTTTTGTTGTTATTCAAAGCTTTATCATTTTTATACAACTTCACGTCGAGAGTCACGTCACTTTTTCGCAGATGCCAAGTGACGTTTGTCATATTAGTTACACCCTAAGAGCACATGTATGTATGTATGTAGTACGTCTTTGGACGAGTGGCCCCCTAAATTTTTCTTTCGAAAAATTCCCTTCTACTAACCGTACACATACATATACATACATATTTATATATAAATATAAATTTATTCAAGCTGTGCATATTTACGCGTACTCATCATTATAGCATACACATACATACACACACACACACGCACGCACATAATCGAACCCTTTTTTCCTTTTGTGCTACTCCTGTTTCTCTATTACTTAAAACATGTTGTTATTGACTGCGTTCTTATGGATAAGTAAGTGTGTGAACAAATATTTACTTCACTAGGTTGCCATTGTTTTAGCTTCACATGTACGCTTTATGGACACATGCATGTGTACATGCGTATAAATTTTATACATATGTTGGTATCGCGTCATATAGGCATACGTTGTGTGTAACTCAATAAAAGACATCAATCAAAATCAGTGATTTTTATTAAATTTGACAGACTTAAACGACTGCTGTTGCCACTGTCGGCTCATCTACAGCGATAACGAACTTCAAACTGAACGCTTTGCCACTTTGTATAGAGAGGGTTTTAGTTTTATTTATAATACTTAAGTCGTGTTGAAAATAGCTGACGAAGGAGAGTAATGTTGTTGAAATAAATGCTATAAAAATTAATTAAACTCAATTGAATGCTCTTTTACGTTTCGCGCGGGAAAAGATTTCAATAAATTATACCAAAAAGGAAAGCCGCACAATTTTTACGAAGGGCTAGTTGATGAGAATATTAAATTGTTATTATATTATTCTTTTGATTCTCGCTTTTCTCGTTTGTCTTTTCTCCTTAATGAATAATATTTCAAAACAAAACAACAAAGCACTTGAAAACTTTGCGCTTGATTTCCGAGATTAAACTGGGATTCGTCAACAATCTTCTTCAACGTGTCTGCAATCAAAGCTTTCATTATTAGCTGCTAGCAGCGGTAGCGAAAGACGTTGATTTCGCTAAGAAATTAGGGGAAGAGATTAGAAGATGATTACCGGTCAGTGATAGCTTTCCATTTCATTATCAATTTCAATTTCAATGATTATCATTATCATCATTTACGCTTTACGTAGGGAAATGCATTTTTATTTGAAATAAAAATATACAGAGATTAGGGAAGGGACATATGCATTTAATTAAGCGTTTATTCAAATTCGATTTTTCAAATGTAATTTGTATTTTAAAATTTAAAAATGGATAGGTCCTTCGTTATTGATACGTTTATAAGGAACCACATAGCCATGCACTTGAATCCTTTTTCCATCTTTTTTTTTTTTTTGTTTTTTTCTACCAAGTGTTCACCGTGACTTCCATTCGATTGGTTGTTCATAACATTTACTTGCATATCTAGGTATGTGTAAATATGTATGCATACATAACATATATGTTACGGATATTGAATTACCTTTAACAGCATCACAAAATCAATCAAAAGATAGATAAAGTTCACAATCAGTCTTTTCGTTATTAATCGGTGAAGGGCTGGTGGCTCATGTGTCATCGAGAGACCACATGAAATGTCAATAATATAAAAATAGGAAAAAAAGAGAAAAAAAAAAAAAAAAAAAAAAAGAAAAGAAAAGGAAACCGTGTGCTCATATTCAGAAACCACAACCAACAACAACCATACTATACATACAGATGGTAGCACAGTAGCCTACATAACGAAAACAAAAACCGCAATACTATAATACGAGCATACACACATATGCGGCTAAACTACATATTGGGTAGCTTTGGCAAGAGTTATCGATATCAAAACTTGACAGCCCATTATAATATTTGAAGAAATAAATTTTCTTATTTCATTTAAAATGACAAAAGAAACACGAGGCAAACAAAGGCAAATTATTTTTTTTTTTGCTAAAAGAGTTATAACTCAAAAATGTAGACAATGAAGCGAGAAAGCGAGAAAACATATACGTGAATAACATCTCGTCACCAGGTAAGCTATATATAGACAGATAGATTAAATCGTAAGAATTAATGAAAAAATTTCAATGAGAATGTTTTCGCATTATTTCCTATTATTAACAATAGGGAAGTATATTACGTAATACTTTATAAGAAAATGTCTATACGTAAATCTGTAATATGAACAATATACAATTTACGCTTAGATGCCAATATCGCTTAAATAATGAAAGCAATAAACAATTTCACAGATTGTTTTGTTTTTCACATTTGGATTTATGTGTTCATTTTAGAGCGTCTCGCATCTTTCTATGCGCATAAATGCAAAATTTAATAATGCAGATCGGGTAGAGCGATGCTAGACATTTTTACGCTCTACGCCCGTGCACCATTTGTGAAGGGCTTAATACGGGTATATATATATAATAACTTTTCAAAATAGGGCATTTTATGAGGAGTGATCGAAAAAGTAGACCGCCACTGTACTAAATATCAAAAATCAAAACATCTCATCGAAATATCTCAAAAATTGCGACCTGTAGCTTGAACACAACAGACTTCAGACGGACAGAGGGACAGACAGGCTTAGATCAATTCAGATTATGATTCTGAATCGATCGATATAATAAAAATTGGGTCTATCTTAAGCCCTTCACGCTTCTGCGTGTTATATACGACCGCACTATTTTTATTTTAAAACCACTTGTGGTACATGAGTATGAAAACATTAAAGCATTCATCAACAGATGCGAGATGTGAAAAGTTTACATTTGGTCTTAGATGAGTTTTTAATAATCGTTACATAATGGGCAAAACTCGCAAAGTAGTTTGTAAATTGTACGCCTGTCAAGTTTTAAGTGAAAGTTACCGGCCTATCGCGACGATTTTTATAGTAAAGTCCATCGATTATTTATACGAAATTCTCGATCAACATTTGCTTCAGATTCTTAGTCAAAATCTTTCGCAAACAAATCTATGGAACACAGAGTATGTAAACACTGATGCGTATTCTCCAACTGAAAAGTTATATATAACATTGACTAATCCCTCACAAATGGATCTATAATGGGTCAGTTATAATCATTAATTGTTTCATTAATGGTTATTTTGTAATCAAATGAAATTATCTGGCTTTTAAGGAAGCTATTTATGAAATTATAATATTTTAGCGTATTCATGTTTCTTCATATCCCCTATTAAAGCGTGTGTCTATACGCATTTTGTCATAATTATTGGACTGCCACAAAGAAAGCTTCAGAGACCCCATCAAGCTTATACATTCTTGAACATCATTTCAAATACTGAATGGATTTGGCAATGCTTGTCGACCGTTCGTGTGTTTTTTGGCTGAGCTCAAATTTTCGGCGATATATTTGGCAGTTCTTCCTACGCTGGTTGCTTGAGAATGAAGATGCGCGAAATTAGTTGGAGACAGAAACTGAGAGCACTTCCATTTCTCTAATCAAGCATTCATTCTATGGTCAAAAATGGAAAAGTCAATATTATAACGGATGGACATGATGAAATCAATTCAAGATTTAATGTTAGTTAATAATATATATATCTTTACCGCTGGGATCACCGATGATTATTGACAATTGTTGCGAGTGCAACAAAGGAATGAGTTTATTTTCTAATGGGTAAAGAGTTAGATAATAATTTATACATTTTCATATTTCGATTACTTGCACTTGAGTAAAATTGAAACTTTCAGATATCAAAGACGTTTTCTATTCTATTCACATTAAGCTATGCTTGACTAGGAATAGTCACCAACATATAAATGTTGAACACATTTCATTAGTTTACCCTACACGGCCCATGATGTATATGTGTATATTAAGTTTGTGTGAGGAAGTGTTGAGATCTGTCCATCTTTTAATATAACTGATTTGATTCAAAGAAGGATTTTAACTATCCGTCCGTCGCCCTTGTATTCTTGTGTTGCATGATGCAAAAACTATTAAGAATCCTTTGGATCGGATAACATTTTCGACTATTTCCCATCCTATTCGGAATAGTTAATATACAAATAAGCAAAGTGGTAGGAGTAGAGTATTTAATGGAGGGCCGTGGCCTACTGTAATATATTTACTTTCGTTTTATTTTAATTTTTTTTTTTAGGTTTATTTTTTATTATAAAGGACCTGTCAAAATATCACTTCAGTTTAATGCAAGGATGCATTTTATGTCATTGACTACACATACAAGTGAACATATTGAATTTAGTTCACAATGACTTTCATTTTTATATTATGTATATATTTTCTCCTTCTCATTTACATTATGTATGTGAAAAGAGGAAAAATGCAGAAGTGATGATGCTTGGTTTTTTTACCTATCGTACCGTTTATTCATTCACATTAAATGAACGTTAGAGATAGTATGATGCTCTTCTTATCCTTTTTATTCTATTAAATAATATTGAAAGTAGTCTTGTCCAAAATGTAATTTAATTTTTATGTTACACGTTTTGTTTAACGCTTGACGTTTTTATTATATTTTTTCGATGTTAGCATAAGAAAAGAACGTAAAAGTGCTACTTACTATGTAAGTAAGTAAGTAAGTAAGTAAGTAAGTAAGTAAGTAAGAAAGTATGTAAGAATGTTTCAACGTTACTGTTAACAATTTCATATGAAAATGTGACAAGGATTTTTAAAAGTGATTTAGTGGATGTTGAAGCAAATAGTAGAGAAGAATAGCACGTCATTGAGGTTTCATTAGATTCTAGTGGATAGACTTTAAATTTGCAATCTGACATAAGTTAACATTCATTTTAACGTACGGTCGAATATTTAAAAATTTGGATGCAAATTACACCAAGAATAATCGTTATGGTGATAAACTTGAAATAAAGATTACGTGCAGCCTTCGGTGCCTGGCATTTTAAAATATACCATATTACTTAT